AGACGAGCGTTCAACGTGGGGCACGGTGTAACAGAAGCATGGCTGGCAAGATGGATGTGGATCAATGGGTGGAGTTGGTGAAGGATTGCAAGTATCTGCCAGAGAATGAGCTCAAGGTAAAGAGGAAGAAAATGAAAAGCGCGCGCGTATGGCGGTCACTGCAGGCGGACGGACGGGCGAACGGGCGAACGGGCGGACGGACGGACGGCCCCGAGGGCCTTTGCTATCAAAATATCGCTCTGCATGCCTTTGTTTTTGGCTCCGCTTTTGCTGTTGCGGGGTGGTCCTGCCCTTTTCTACCTCTCACGGCGGCTCAACTATTGGCACCGTAGGCATTGTGCTCCAAGGTGTCGGAAATTTTGCTCGAGGAAGGCACGGTGCAAACCGTCTCCAGTCCCGTGACCGTTTGCGGCGACATTCACGGCCAGGTCTATAATTGCTCTCTGACCCTACCCCGGCCCGCTGGTACCCTTGCCAATGATCCATCCTGGCTCACAGCATCGATGTTGCTTTGGGCTTTTTTTTTTCAATAGTTTTATGATCTCGAAGAGCTCTTCCGGCACGGTGGTCAGGTGCCCGACACCACCTACATTTTCATGGTTCGTCGCCTGTCTCGTGCCTCGACTTGGTTTTGATTTCGAGTTTACCCTTTGCGACTTTTCCCGTTTTATTTGTTTTTCCGCAAAGTTTCGAATCGCCTCAACGTTCTGATTCATCGCCTTTCCAGGGTGATTTTGTCGACCGTGGCCACTACAGCCTCGAAACCTTCACCCGCCTTCTCACCCTCAAAGCCAAGTGCGTTTTCCGTCCGCTCGTGCGGCGACACCATCCCCCTCGTCATCTCCTTCTTCCTGCCGTTACGATCACCTCCTCTTTTCTCTCTCTCTCTCTCTCTCGCTCGACTTGTGCGCGTCTTTCTCTTGCACATCCAGGTACCCGGACCGCATGGTGCTCTTGCGCGGTAACCACGAGACGCGCCAAATTACCCAGGCCTACGGCTTTTACGGTCAGTCAAGCTGCCTAAACCCACCCCCGCCCTGCTCTATTTCTCGTCATCTAACGCCCTCGCCCAATTTTTTTTTTTTTCCACAGACGAGTGTCTGCAAAAGTATGGCAACTCCAACGCTTGGAAGTATTGCACCGAAGTCTTTGACCTCCTCTCCGTTGCAGCCCTCATCGACGATCAGATCCTTTGCGTGCACGGTGGTCTTTCCCCCGATGTTCCCACCGTCGATCAGGTACACCTGCAGCTGCATCACCCACCCCTATCTCGAGTCACAACTAGCAACTCTCATCCCCTCCTCCTCCGCCTTGCTTGCCATTTTGCAGATTCGTACGATTGAGCGCTGCCAGGAAATTCCACACGAAGGCGCCTTTTGTGATCTAGTCTGGTCGGATCCCGATGAGATTGAAACCTGGCTCGTCAGTCCTCGCGGTGCTGGCTACCTCTTCGGCAGCAAGGTCGTCTCTGAAGTAAGTGCCAATCTTGCACGCGCCACTTCTTTGCCAGCAAGCGCAAGCCTCCCCCACCTGTACACAACATGAATTCCAGGCACATGCGTCGTTCTAATGCCGCCTTGGTCCGTCTCTTAGTTTTGCAACATCAACAGCCTCAAACTCATTTGCCGTGCCCATCAACTCGTCCAAGAGGGCCTTCAATATCACTTTGAGAATAACGCGCTGGCCACCGTCTGGTCTGCCCCCAACTACTGCTATCGGTATGTTCACCTCAATCTCGCTTGCCCAACCCGCCAACATCCTCTTTCCATTCAACAGACACATCAAGCTTGACCGCCCATTTTCTCATCAATTTTCTTGACCTTGCCGCGACCTTCCTTCTTCTTCTTGTGCCCTCTTTTTTTTTTTTTTTTTTTTTTTTTTTTTTTTTTGTCTTTTGCTCTCGGCGCATCTGCAGTTGCGGCAACGTTGCCTCCATCCTCGAGATCAACGAAAAGCTGGAGCAACACCCAATCTTCTTCGAAGCCGTGCCAGAGGAGAAGCGCAACGTGCCCGCTGCACGTACGACCCCGTACTTTCTATAGATAGACTACCCTGTCGCCCAGTCCATTCCGTGTGCTGGGGCAAGGCCCGACTTGCTTCAAATGACCATGCAACATATTGAAACCCCATCGGCGCGGCACCGTTCCTCTCTCCCCCCTTTTTTTTCTTTTCTTCTGTGCCATGTTTTGTTGTTTGTGACTTTTTTTCCATATGTGTGTGAGATGGCGTGCCGTTGTACCTTTTGATTTTCCAAGATTCAGATTGGTTCTGCAGCCCCGCTTGCCCAACGCCAACTCGAGCTTGACTTGCATCGCCTTCTTTTTTGTTTTGTTTAAAATGATCTTTCCACGAGAAGCATGGGGATCCACCTGAACCTTGAATTGCAGCCAGCTGCCTTGTATTTTATATCAAACACACGCCCGTTAGAGGAAGCGGTCATCCAGCAATGTCTTGTTGGAAATGTTAATCCGCCCATAACGCTGTCGCAAAGCAGTGAGCAGCTCGATCACGACAAATGCAGAAACAGCTGCCGCAGCATAACTAGACGAAAATTCACGCGAACGCGCCACAAATTTGTTAGATAGCCAAGGCTGGCGCAGTGCATGTTCGACACTCAAAAAAAGGGGGGCTCCTTCACACCACTAGCAGAGCAAGCTTCGAGGCCAATACAGAACTTGCAACGCTACATACTTGTGCCAGACGCGGTCCCAAAACAGAAATTGGAACAGCTCCACCAACACGAGAAATCCCTAAACCAAATCATGAGCGCAGCCATCATCAAGCTGAACTTCTTGAGCAACAGAACCATAGAATTTAGCCTCACCTCTGATCCCATGAAAAGGGTTGTCTGGAACCCGTTGCTAAAGTCGCGATAGAAAATGCCACGATTCAAGACAACCGGAGTGCGATCCACAAGCCGATCCACAAAAGAACGATTCTGCACAGCAGCAACAGTAGCAGGCACCGGCGTCGCATTCATTAGCTCACACCTAGAGCTGAGAACGCCCGACAATCAATGGCGTTGTTTGCATGACTGAAGCACAGACAAAGACGTACAGCAACAACGTAGTCGAGATCGGGATAGCTGCGCTGCAAATAGGCCATCCAATGCATGTTCAAATCGGCTTGGGCGCGCGTGCTGTGCAAGCGCGCGTTCGTGAGCGCCTGACGATCGGCAGCCGTGTGGCGAGGCAGCTCGGCATCCTGCAGAATAAAAGCACCCAAAACATGACAGATTGGTCAAAGACACACATGCACAGGCAAGATCTGCGATTGAAGTATCGGACGCTCACCTGTCGCACGCTGTTTAACAAGGCGGCGTCCCAGTGTTCGCGCAATCGAGAAGGTATATACACTTCAAACGTTTGCAGGTCCTCGCTTGGCTCCAACCCTCGTGGGCTTGTCAAGTTCATTTCCTCCTAAAACACCCCAAGAGTTTTGACCCGACTCCATCAGGATGAACGGATGAACACCGCCACAACATGAGATTGGAAAGTCTAGCACCAACCTTGCGCAAATTGTCCAAGAGCTTGTCCATGCTAACATCAGCAAACCCGTGGGGGCTTTGCCCATGAATATACCAGCCCCGATAATCCGAGTCCATGACAACCAAGCTCACGTTGAGCACGGAGAGACGATCAACAAAATGCGTCAGCTTGTCCTGATTTGTCGACAGTTTACGCCGGTTAGTTAGGATTAGCACACGCAAAAGGAAAGTGTGAGTCTGAAACGATTCGAGGCCAAGCGTATGTCCTTCACGCCCAAGCTTTTGATCCTTCCCCTAACAAGCGCAACAAACAGGCCAGGGGTAGAGAATGGGAGGCATGACTTACGCCGACGTAGCGCAGATAAATGGTCTGGCCATACGCAAAGATGGCCAAGCTCAGAAAAACGTAGATCAGGACGACCAAGCCAAAGCGCAAAAGGTGGTGATCTTTGGACTAGAGGTTGCAAGAAAGTTGGCCAGCACGACACGTTGTGAGCATAAGGTGCCTTGGCTCGTCAAGTCATCTTCAAGCAAACAGCATGAGCGGGCCTACCCGATAATCTGGAGCATAGCCACTGCTGTTCTCGGCATACTCGCCAACATCAAACCCGTAGAGGCACAACAGGACTAATAAAAGGCGGACGGCCGGAGGCACGCGTCGATAGGTTTGGATAGCCAACCACTCTCGCGCTGCCTGGATGCGGCGCCAGACACTGATCATGGGCACCGAGCCTTGCCCCGGATCATTCTCGGTGCGACCGGGTGGTTTGGCGTCCCCCGCCGTGACAGAGGGTGAAAGCTTGGAACGCTCCCAATCGATGAAGAACACATCGCTGCTGCTTTGACGGTACACGAGCCAGATGGCATCCGCCAGCAGGAACCAGGTCACAATGGGCAAAAAGTACTCGTCAAGATAATCACGCTGCCGCTTGACGGGCAAAAATGACGAGTGTTGGCGGCGACCCGTGAAAACCAATACAAGATGGATGCTGTAGCCAATGCACGCCCAAGCCATCAGCACGGAAAAAGCATGTAGTGCACTGCCTGCCGTAACGAGCAGAGTGTCACCATCGACAAACTCGCGCTTGTGGCGGCGCTTCCACATGGTTGTGATGTAGCCAGCGTACACTATGCTGAGGAGTGTAAAGGTCACGGCAGACCATTGCAAGGCTTGCCAGTGCTCACCCACATCGCTCACGTATTCGACCTCGAGGCGAGCCTGAATGCGACAACAAAAGGGCTAGTCAATCAGGCCTGAAATTGACACTCATGCTTACGTGCGTTGAAAAAAGCGCACCGTATGGGCCCGCGCTGACTTACCGGTACGGACGCAGTGTTGGAGGACATGGCCACATCCCCATACGTGACCACTGCATACTGTGGGAGGCGCCCAGCGGGCCGGATGGTGAGCCAAGGAAAAAAATAATATCGCTCATCGAACCAAGCCATGCAACTCAAAGAGATCTGTGACGAAAAGATCAAGGGTCGCGTACTAGGCTGGAAAAGGTGCCCTCGTCCTTATTATCATCGGCCTCGAAGCGCAACACAAGATGTTGTAACCACCGAACTGCGCGAAGTTGGCCGTCGAGGTCCATCCCCAAAGCTGCGTCGCGCAAAAACATTCGCCGCTAGGCAACATGAACCCGTAGTGTTGATGAGACCGAGCTGCCCATGACTGTGGCCGCCTTGAGCCAGGACCTTGTCTGAGGCAATGGCGTACCGTAAAAAGCCAGGTGCTAGAGTCGCTGCCCGCATTAGGAGACAGATCAGCGCTCTGTAGGTTGGTGATGAGAAGAGGAATGGGCTCAAAAGCCCCAGTTGTGGTTTGCAAAAAGAGCTCCAGCAAAACATTATCGCCTGCATCAGAACGCAGAATCACAAAAACATGAAAAAAGGGGGTGGGGGGTTACAAGTAAACAAAAGAAAAAAAAAACCCCCCAAGGTAAAGAGCGTCAGCAAGACGCACCACTGGTAAGGTCAGCCACGTCAACTTGACAGCCTTCACTGATGGGGGTTCCAAAGTAGCGCCACGCTTGGGAAAATGTTGATGGACACAACTACCCAAAGTTGAAGGGCAAGCATGAGACAACAATTCGACGGGATGAAATGAAGAGCAAGTGGAAGAAGCGACAGCGCGAGGCCATACCTCGAGATCATCGGCGTCCAGCGGTCTGAACTCGGCCAGTTCGCCTGTGAGGGAGTAGACGGCCACATAAATTTGCAATCGATGATCATTCTACAAGACACACCCCACCAGTCAATACAGCAAATTAGTTCAAAACACAAGAGAGCGGGCGCAGCAGTCGACAGCCGGGGACATGCCAGACGATGGGCAATTGCGACATACGCTGATGTTGGCGGTGATAGCGCCGAGCTCGGCGTCTCGAGTGTAATACAGCCAGGGCAGGCTCTCAGGCCTGTAGGATCGCACCCCATGTGCACAGATCAGTCGAATAGCTAGAGCCGGATAGAGGCAAGGAGAACAGGGCAGGATGTAAAGGATTCAACGGCCATACCAGGAGGCAACATCGTTAACGCCCAAGGAGGCGACCTGCAGCATGTCGTTGTACTGGGTGCACGGTTCGCTGCTACTATCGTAAGCTGTCAAGGCGCACAAATTGGCAAGACGCTGACAGGCCATCGCCCTCTGGTTGTCAGCCTCGGCATTCTAGACACAGCCGGACATGAGTTGGGGAGGAGAGCAGGGAAGGCGATAGAAGCCAAACATAGGCCAACGGCGAGGAAGCAGACCTGACACAACAGGACGCTGGCACGGAGCTGTGCTTCAAGCAGTCCTGAAGTCACGGTCAGTCCCGCATCCTGCATCAAGTGTTTCAAGGTGGATGCCAGGGTGAGAAATTTTAAAAGAAGCCTTTCAGGAGCCAAGCTGAGGGAGGGTGCGCGTACATCAAAGGATACTTGGAGCTGACGCTCAGTGACTTGGTAGGCATCCACCACGCTCGAATCTAGGCAAGTTCCATCCAGCTGCGGCGTGTGACAAAAGCACCATCAGCGGGAAGAAGGCCACCCCAGCTGCTAGGACAAAGGGGCACAAACTCGCACCTCTGTCATGTCCAGGGGACAAGTGCAGCCCGTGGTGTCGGTGCTTGTCATGCGAACGTCTGGGCAGACAACGCAGGCGGTGCCAGCTGCATCTGGCTGCTCGAGGGTGGCAAAGCAGTTGGTGTGACTTTGTGAGAGACCCAGATGATATGGTCACGGCGCAAATGACAAGGGAATGGAACGGACCGTGGTGCCGGAGGGGCAAGGCAGGCAGGCTGTGGAGCTGCGCAAGGACTGATTTGAATCAAAGTCGGCTAAACCAGGATGAAAGAAGATTGGATTGGAAGCAGGCATGCTGAGTGCGGTTTCGCCTCGATGGACAACTCGAAAAAGGGTAAAAGAGGGAGAGGCGGTTGAGTAGGACTGACAGCGAATGCTCTGAGCCGGGCAGGGACACGATCCATCCTCTGCAATGGTGGTGGAGCAGACGATGCAGTCCTTGCCATTCAGCGCTACCACCTGATTTGGAAAGGCAAGAATGAGAAATGAGACAAGGAGCAGAGGGGCAGGCCGACACGCGAGGCAAGATGCTCAAGGGGAGGGGGCGTGACCTCATCATTCCCACAGGCAGTGCACGCAGTTGTTTCCGCCACGGCTGTTGCTCGCGACTGCGGCGCACAAATGCACTCTATCGGCACGGCAGGAGAAGATTGGTGAGATGGCATGTGCTTCAAGTGGGGCACGCCGCATTACCAGCGCCAGGTGAGAGAGAACCGAACCGACCGGCGGCCTCTGCGACCTCGTTGGTGCCACACGCGAAGCAGCTGAGGGAGAGCGAATCAAAGGCCACCGACGCGGCCGCGCATGAATCGGGCGTAGCCAGCTCCACCTCATTAACCGCCACCATCACCATCACCTGCCCAAGCACCACCAACAGTGCCAACAACCCCCTGCCACCCAAGCGTAGCCGCTGTAGGCGCCCCACCGCCGCCACCGCCGCCGCCATCTGTGTGTGTATGTGTGTGTGTGTGTGTGAAGAAAAAAAATTTCAAAATTTTCAAAACGAAAGAAGAGAATTTATTTTAATTTTTGACGAATTTTAGCGAATTTTCATGGATTTTTGATGAAATTGTTTTCGAGTGTTTTGGAAGGTTCCTCTATTATCCTCTAGACTTATCTTGAAGATGGTATGCGGCAGAGGGTGGTGGCGGTGATCCTTCCTTGTGGATGTGTTGTACAATTTGCCTTGAGTTGCGGTGGAGGTGAATATCAGTCACAACTACGACTACGAGTCGTAATCGACTCCCTCCCCTCCCTCCTCTTTCCCTGAGCAAATCGTAGCATCGACGCTGCAGCTGATAGTGCAAGAAATTCGAAGCGCGTTTTTCCATGTGTCAATTGCGATCCGACGACGCACACGTCCATTGGCGGTATGATGACTTGACCTGTTTGAGGTCTTTGTGTGGTGTTTCTTGCTCGAGACGTCCGTGGATCCAGTGGAACTGACCGTCGGCTAATACCCTCTTCTTGCCCTTGACGTGACCAGGAGCTCCATGATGAACAGCTTAGAGGTTTGTGATGTTCGCATGGGATACTATGTTCAGGTGACAGAAAATCACAGATAATCACAATTATAATGGCATGAGTGTCGATGCACTTGAATGGACGCCGTCGGCGTAAGTGCTCCAGCGGCTCGGGAAAGATTTGAATTTGGCGCAGTCAATTTAAGATTGACTATCAGCTGTTGTATACACAGTCAATCAACGGCACAGGGTCGATTATGAAGGCCAGGGCATACGCACGCAGGAACGGTAGCATAGGCATTTACACCCTCTTGAGCCTGGGCTTGAGTATGTATGCGTCAGCACCAGGGCTGGCACTGGGTGGCGTAAATCTTTTGCTGGGGTAGTTTATTGAGGGCAGCCATGTCGTCGGCCTCGAGCGAGACACTGGAAATGCCCTACGGACAGAACATGCGCCCAGTGCACGAGTCGGGGCGTCAGTGCATGCTTGACGCAACCGCGGAGGCAGGGTCAGAGTACCCGGCTTACAAGATTGGATGCCATGTGAGTGGCATTGTGGGAGCGGGGGATGGCGACACCATGACCATCCATCTTTTGCAGACTCCAAGCCAAGGCGACCTGTCCTGGAGTGAGCCCCCGCTTCTGTGCTTGCGAGCATGGGCAGCGCCACAAGAAGGTGAGTGGGGGACGGGGTGCTCCTCTCACAACCATATGCTTGCGAGAGGTGGAGTAGCGCAGTGGCAAGCATCCATGAGCTGACCTCGGCTACTTGATGAACAACGGGGTCATCAAGCATGGTTGATCGGGGGTAGGCGCCCACTGAAAAGTTGCAGCAACAGGTGTGTGAGCTAGAGCGCGGCGTGCCATCCCGTCAATCATTGCTTGGACGAGTCAAGGGAGCTCACGTACTTGGGGCATAGCCAGTCAAGGTGATATTACGGGCCTTGCAAAAGGCAATCAGGTCTATTGAGCGGAGCAAGGGCATGAGGCTCGACTTTGAATCAGCACTGGGTGCGCCGACGCGCGAGCCCACCATCATTGTGGTAGTATGGGTGGTTTTCGATCTGGTTGACGGCTGGCCATAGACCGTAAACGTCGTAAAGCTAGACCCGGGCAACAATGGTGGGCCAAAAGGGGGTGAGGCAAAAGGCAGGAAGGTGACGACGGCGTTTCAAGAGCGTGGCCGTGGCACCTGCTGCAAATCGCGTTGTTCAAAGTTGGAGACTCCGATGGCGCGCGTCAGGCCTTGGCGTTGGGCTTCCAGCAAACTGCCATAGGCCTCGATCCTGACGAGAGTCGTGTATGAGTTCAGGGTGTGTCAGTGAGAACACGGTGTTGGTCGTGTCGCTGCCAAGCAGAGACGGGCAGAGTGGGTAGCCGCGTACCGGCACTGGTAGTAGGTGCCATTGGCGGTATTGCTGGCATCAAAACACGCGGGTCGAGGGCGGGTATCGTTCTGGAGGCGGCCCGCGTGATGCAGAAGCAAGAGGTCTAACTTAGGGTCAAGGGTTGGGGTCTTCATAAAAGGATTACGCGTAAAAGGCAGCAAGGCCCGGGAAAAGGAAACAAGGCATTGACTGCGTACCGACATAGCTCATATTCAAGGGCTCAAGGATCTGGGCGCGAATGGCCTACACAGGGGAACGACGAGACACGTGACACGTGAGGGCACAGCCGACATTGGGCAAAATGGGGGGCCACATCTGGCACATGCGACTGTGCCCAAGTGGGTGGGCCTGTCAAAAGGAGGATTTTTTTTTTTTTGGGAGACCCGAGCAGAGTGGCGTACCGGAATCATGTTGGCGCTGTAGTTTTCAGAATTGATCTTGGAGGTGATGAAGATGGTGCTGCGGTCTACTTGGGAGGCCTAGCCGGGGATCAAGGTGCTTGGGTCATGCAATCGGCCTTTCAAGGCCGAGTCAGAGCCCAGGTGGTGTGGCGAGGAGCGAGTGAAAACTGCTCAAACCTGGAAAGCCTGGCTGATGTTGGGCTCGGAGCCATAATCCACACTGGTGTCAATGTGCGTGGCCCCGAGAGCTAGCCACTGGCTCACGTTGTAGCTTCCACAGCAAGAGCCTATGAGAACGCCAGGCGGATCAGATCGAGGCCCTGGCCACCGGCAGTCGCCAACAACGAAGCCAGCTGGCGGCACGGACGCGAAGGCGCGAGGGAAGGTCTCAAGTGTCACGCACCAAGTCCAATAATGGGCATGTCAACACCGGTGGCAATCTGGATTGTAGGCACCACAACGCCACAAGCCTCGTTCAAAGCCAATGCCAGGATACACACGAGTGCCATCAAGCGGTTCTGACTGGATGCTGCCATGGTTTCTGGGTCTGGCTCCGATCGGTCAGGGGCCGCGATCGCGCGGTTTTGCTCGCACGTCAGGGTGTTTGTATTTGTCTTAAAATACTTTTTACTTATGCTTTGAAAAAGTAAAATACAAAATGCGATTGGTATTATGTAGAGAACGCACGTAGAGGGGGTGTAGCGTAAAAAGAATAAGAATACTTTTCAAACAAGTATTATACATCACACAGCTGCGCAGAGCTCCCGTTCTTTTGTGAGTGTGTGAGTGTGTGTGTCTCTCATCTCTGTGTCTCAATCTTGACTCTCTCTCTAACTCTCACTCTTTATCTCTCGGTCTCTCGCTCTCATTGTACTTTCCTTTACACCCTTTTCTCCTGACCCTCTGTCTCTCTTAATCTCCGCCTCATTCGTCGTCTCTCTCTCTCTCTCTCTCTCGCATTTCTCTCTCTCTCCTCTCTCTCTCTCTCTTCTTTGGGTCAGTGAATATCGTTTTGGCAGCGGCACGGTGGTGGTATTGGCGCGGGGTCGAAGGATCGTCTTGGCATGGGATGGTTGATGGTGAATGGTGGCAAAGGGTGGTGGGGTGGTGGTGGTGAGAGGGTGGCAGTGTTGCGGTCGTGATTGTCGTGCTTGTCGTGTGATGGTTTGGGAGAGGAATCGCCTTGGTACACTCACTCTGGAACGGCGGGGTAGGTGTCTGGACTGCTCGCCGAGGCCAGATCCTCGTCGTGACCCGCAACGATTGGTAGCCACGACGCGTCGCTGATTCCCATCGCAGCACCCGTTGATCACGCCGGACACCCCAGCGGCAACACCAGTGCTAGGATGGCGCGCATCGTCACCACCATGGGCGGCCTGATGGCCGCTTACCTCATTTACCTCGAGCCCCCGACCGCCATCACGGCATGGTTCCCCTGGCACATCTTCTTTATGACCATTGGCGTAAGTGCTTGTTCTCTGTCTCCGCCCCTCCCATCCCGCGTCTTTGGCTCTTGACCTTGGCCTCGCCCATCTTGACCTTCGGGCTCTCCTCCTACTTCTTATGCACCCTAGGTGTACGGCTTTATGTCGTACAGCGTGCTCAACTTTGTCTTCAACGGCAAGAAGGCCTATAACCAAACCGTCTGGTTCCATTTCGTTTTGAATGCCTTGGCGGCAGCCTGCATTCTCCTCGGTGCGTTATCTTTGAAGACCCGTACTCTTGCCGTGCATGTGTCCCCCGCCCGCCTCAACATTCATGTCCACCCGTGATCTTTTCCCCCGATTTTGGCCCGCCACAGGGTTTGTGGCCATCTACACCAACAAGGAGACCAAAGGCAAGACCCACTGGAAGTCGTGGCACGGAACGATTGGCTTTTACACCTTTGTTTTGATCATGGGCATGACCATTGGCAACATCAGCTTTCTCTTCCCCGACCAAATGGTGCGCGCCGTTGGTCCTAAAACGGTGAAGAAGATCAAGCTGGTTCACCGCATCGTGGGCACCCTTGCCTACGTGTTTGTCATGTTTGAAATGTTCCTGGCCTACTACTCAAACTGGTTCAACCGCAATGTGACCGGCGTCCTCTGGTATCTTTTCCCCACCATGACCCTCCTCATGGCCGCCATCGTCGTGGTCCAGGTCGCCCCCAAGTTTTTCCGGTGAACACCATGAAAAAAAGCTCTTTTGCTGCTGAATGTTGTGTGTTGTAAATGCTCTTTGGTGCGGTCAGACCTTGCCATCGCAGCAGCCTGAGCTGCCAGCACATGCAGCAAATTGATCAACTGACTGGTTTGACAGTGGCAGATTGAACTTGACCACAGACGCACATGATGACACGGTCGCACGCAGCGACAGAAACACACGAACATGATACAACATATCAATGCCATGAATACAGATCCGGGCATTCATATTGACTCACACAACAAAACACGAAACAGGGCGCGAAGCAGGCCGGCGCTTCGTTGGAACAGGCCGCTGCGAAAAGAGGCATGTCTCAGGTTCGCACGCTAAACTTGTAGCGAACTACATGGCGGTATGCCTCTCCCGGGCGTAGCACAGCCGAGGGAAAATCCATTTGATTGATGGCGTCTGGAAAGTTTTGCGTCTCAAAGCAAACGCCTGGCATTTGTGCCCCGGAACAACACCACAGGCCAGCATCAGTGTTGATTGTGAAGGCCATAAACATAAACCGCAGGAATGAGAGACAAGGAATGAAAAACAAAGCAGATGATCAGCTGGTCAGAAGATCGGCCGACGCACCAGCATGTTCGCTGTAGGTGACACCGTCCTTGCCGGCAGAGGAAAAGGCGCCGTTGGACGTCCAGACTTGAAAGCCAGGCTGATCGGTCCAAACCTAGCGACGCGGGGAACATGTTCATTTTTGTTCACCGAATGAGCCGGGCCAGCCAGCTGGCGTCGAGTTTGTCCTGCGGAGGGATAAGGGGCTCAGGATTGGGACAAACCTCCATGTGGCGTCCAGACGCGGGGTCATACATTTCTGCCACGAGCGCGAGATCACCGTCATGGATGGTGCTGCTGGCCACAAAGTTGTGATCCAGGCCCGGCATGTTCTGCACGCGGCGCATGTGGTCAAAGATGGCACCAAAGCGCTCGGGCTGGCCATTGGCTAGGCCGAGTTCAGAGACTGGAGCCAGTTGGCCTGTGGGGATGAGATCGGGGTGGACGGCCGTGTACTTTTCGGCATGGACGGTAACCAGTTGATCATCCACGGGTCCACTGTCGTGGCCTGCCAGATTAAAGTAGCCTGCAGAACATGGCGGGCGTTGGAGTCGGGGTGTGCCGTGAGCGGGAACAAAGGTGGCGGTGCGGAGGGGCTTGGGCATGATCTCGATCGCACCGTGGTGAGTCATGTTGATGATGGTCGGGGCATCTGTGGTGGCTGTAAAGACCATGTCCAGGGCGTTGTCTTCAGCCACGTTAAAGGCAACGGTGGCATCGACATTTCCGGGATAGCCTGCGTCGCCATCAGGGGAGCGCAGCTCTAAATGCCAGCTTGCGGGGCCGGCGGGGCCGGCGGCCGACCACAGGCGTTGATCCCATCCATTGAATCCTCCGTGCAAGTGGTTGTCACCGTCGTTCTGGTCCACTTTGTACCTGTAATCTCCCAAGAAAGAAAGGATCAGGGCCCAGCACGGACAGAGGTATGAGAAGCTAGCCTCTGGAATAAAGCGAAAAGGTGAGGGGTTGAGCAGCCAGCCGAGATGAGGCAAGGCGAACATTTGGCCGTCGAGGTGGAAGGTGGCTTTGTCGATGCGATTGCCGACTCGACCAACAGTGCAGCCAAAATAGGGCGAGGCATCGGGCGTCAGGTACTCGCTCATGGCGGGTTTGCCAAGAACCACGTCGGCCATCTTGCCCGAGCGATCCGGCACCAAGAGCTTTTGAACTGGACGGTCAGCGCAGAGTACAAGAGGTTGAGCCTCGCCCGTTGTGCCATGAAAGTGGGTGGGAATCGAGTCTAAAACAACATACCAATGCCGCCCCAGTTGGAGACGGTCGCGACCAGCGTTCGGGCCTCATTGGCCAACTCCACGACCTGCGCGCCCTGCGCCTGCTGAACCAAATCATGCCGCCACCGACGACCCACCCCCCGGCCAACCCACCGCCATGCCCCACGTCCCACCACAACCGCCATCCTTCTCACAACAGCCGGACGTTGTCCTTCGATCCGATCCTTCCCCCGTCTTCCTGTAACCCCCCCTCACGCCGAGCTGCCGACGCCGTCCGAAACACAAAGTCACTGACACCTCCCCCGCCTCAAAAATAAAAAAAATAAAATAAAAATAAAAATTTATTTACATAGGATGTACATGTAAAGAGACGTGGATAAAGTTCTAACTTATCAATAGTACTACATGTACTGTAGTAGTTTTCGTTTTTGATCGATCGCACTTTCACGGGCGCTGCCCTCTTGATGCAGACTCCTCAAATCAAAGCACTTATCGTCGATTTTCACGAGCCTTGGAAGGAAGCTACATGTAATAAAAAGGGGAGTGAGATGATAAAATTTACTGGAACCCTCCCTTGTCCTCCTGGGCAATGCAAACGTTTATCAATTGAGGGCACCGCCAGGCCACTGGGTGTACTGGCTCGGGGACGACCCTCGCCCTTGCCGATCCCTCTACTTTCATTTCGCTTTCTGTGCGGCACAGCCAGGCGTTGGCGCTGGAGCAAGCCGCGAGGCTGGTCTGGTGCCTCTTCAGTTAAAAAAAAAGGGGTTCAGGGGCTTCTATATCCTTGTAACCCCCCCTGAAACACAGTCTAGTCACGAAAGATGCATGCAGGCGGAAGAAGACGAAACAGTGGCAGGTCGCAGAGTTAGAGCACGCTCATGTCGCCCTCGGCGAGCCGCAGCAGCAGTGGGGCGTACGCGGAGTGCGCGTCAGCTCCAACCCAGGAAGCGGCATAGTTGTTTTTCTTGCCATCGAGGACGATAGCCAAGTCATTGCTGTGGGTGTACCACCAAAAGCGCTGAGCCCACCTAGGGCGAGGCGGTTCAGTGGGCACCCAGTCGTTGTTGAGGAGGAAGCGGAAGTGGCGAATGTGCGTGTCCGGGAGCTGGTCATGCATAACCACAGCGGGCGAAGCAAAAGTGTAAAGGTGGATGCGGGGTGGCCCGCGGTTGTCCGGGCCCCCGTCGTTGGCAAAGTCCGTACACGTCAGAAGCTTGAGCGCCGCGAGCGTGGCAATGCCAGCTCCCTGGCTGTGCCCCGCAATCGCAAAGCTGAGAGAGAATTTATTGGCTGCGCAGCCGAGGCTCACGGCGCCGTCATTCAGGGCGTCGTTGACAAACTCTACAACCTTGGGCCACAACAGCTCAAGGCGCTGTTGGAAGCCGCCGTGCACCTTGGTGCCGTAGGCATCCACAGCCGAGACTCGCAGGTTGCCGCCAACCCAGTCGTGGTAGATCAGGCCCTTCTTCTCCTTCGGCGTGTACACCCGCTGTTCGTCCGCCACCGTCACAGAGTCAGGCACATCGTCTGTGTCAAAAAAGCTGCCGCGGAACACGAGCGTCACCTCGAGCTCGGGGGCTTCATTGCGCGCAACGGTCTCGGCCGACCGGTCCTCTTCCGTGGTAAAGCTGGGGGCCTTGGCCTTAAGCCCAACCAGCAGCGCGTTCGGGTGTTCCTTCGGGCTTCCAATCACAGCCCACCGGCGCCCGAGAAGGTACTCGGCAAAGCTGGGCTCATCAACAGCCACGTTTGGTTTCTGGGAGGTGTAGAAGTTGGCATCCTGAGCGCCAAACAAGGCCATGAAGCGCTTCTCAGCCGTGCCATGCTCTTCGCCTTTCGCGTCGTCAACGGCAGTGAAAAGCGTCACCTCGCGGAGACCGGCGTTGATGTTCTTCGCGTAGGTCAAATCCGCAAGGGCGGCAGCGGTGGCAATGACGCTGATGACATGCTTGCCTGCGGCGCCGTTGGGGTTCTGGCAAAGCGACTCACCGTCACCGCACAAAATGAGAATTTCGCGCTGGAGATCCGGCGGCGCCGTGGCAGCAACACTCCGAAGCATGCGGTTCGTCACCGTGCCACCGAAGGCGCAGCTCAGATGGCTAAACAACATTGGTGTCTTGGCCTTCACAAGGGCGTCAAAGGAATCCGGGGTGTAGCGGTAGTAGTTGGCCGGGGGGGGCTGGTTGTATTGCTGGGGTCTTAGTATGTTATCATCGAGGTTGCCGCCGGGCACAACAAAGAAGGGCGGGAACAGTGTGAGTCCGCCTCCCGTCCTCCCCTTCCCGTCACTGCTTGGGTGGTAGGAGGCGAACTTGGCCTTGCAGTAGGAGGAGGCCAGTTTCAGCATGGACCACCCTGCAGCAAAACCCGCGCCGACGTCCAGGGCGCGCCACAACAGTATCATGTTGGGGATTTTTTTTTGGGGGGGGGAGAGGGGAGGGGGGCGGGCGAGAGAGAGAGAGAGAGAGAGAAAAGCATAAACAGCGAACTCACTGCATCGGTCGTAGAGATTCCTTTCAAGCACAACTTATCGGCTTTGCATGTTGTTACATGTACTGTAGTAATTACTAAAAATTGTTGATACTTACTACATGTAGTAAGTGATGGTAAATATCGGTCAACCCAAGCTAAAGAAATGTGGATAAGTTCGAACTTATTAACTTATTTGATCGCACTCCTCAAATCAAAAAAAGCACTTATCGTCGATCTATTGACCAGTATCAAGTTACTCATTTTCAATTTTTAGATAAGTTGTGCTTACACACACACACACACACACACACACACACACACACACACACACACACACACACACACACACACACACACACACACACACACACACACACACACACACACACACACAACCCCGGCCCGCCCGCACACACACGATCGCGAGCTCGGGGTTCAGCTTCGCCTCGAGATGAGGGGCAAATAATGCTGCTGGTCAGCTGAATGACCCCGGCACCCCGGCCAAGCGTCTTGATCAGTGGGTGCGGCCGGGGCTCCCATCGCGAGACTCACCTGCCTTCTCAGATCGGCGGCAGCATGGCCGACTGCGCGGCGACCGCACCACAGCTGGCTTGGACATGGCTTGAGGCAGCCACAGAAGATGTCGAGCTGGGGACGACGCCGCCCTTGGCCAAGCGGCCTTTTCGTGAGCCAACAGCCCTAGCGCAGGGCTTGCAGCGTGGTGGACAAGCGTGGGCTGAACAATGTGCCGAAGCCATTGCGCTCGTCCTGCACCTGGCCCTGCAGAACCCCGAAGAGCACGGGCACAGAATGGCCCACGTCGAGCGTGTTTTGACTCACCTGGACCGCGCCGTTCGTGCACGCCCGGCCCTCCAAGACACCGTGGCACAGCTTCATCGTCGTCTCCTCCATTGCCAACCGTATGCCCTTCGGTGTCTCCAACGTACCCAGCACGAGGCCCCCCACCAAGCCCACCTTGCCCTTGCCCTGCTCAGCCCACCACAGCCCTTGCCCCAACTGGCCGAGGATCAGGTCACGTCCTTGACCCTGGCCGCCGGCAACTGGCTCGATGACATTAGTCCAGAGCAACTCCAACACCTCGTCCTGCTATGGATTCGCGGAGACGTGGCGGCCCTGCAGCGCCGTCATGCCGCTCTTTTCGGCCCCATTCTCCTCGACGATACTGCCCAGCGCCTCAGACACCTCGCCCCAGCCCTCGCCCCGGCCCTTAAACAAGCCCCGCCCGAAAGCCCGGAGCAAGCCTCCAGTCCACGTCACCGCTGGATTGTTCAACAATGCCTCTGGGCCCTGGATAATGATCAAATCAACGCGCTTTCCCGCGCCCTGTCCCTCCTCCTTTTTGCGCTCGAACCTTCCCTCGCAGAAATGCAGCTTCGGGGCCTGATACGAACCCACGTGGCCACACGCAGCGCCATTGTGCGCCTCGCCCGTGCCCTAGAACTTGCCGTCCCCGATCTCGCCTCATCCCATATCAAGGTACGAGGGCTCTCTGATATCCACGTCAGCCTACGCCCCGCTGACTCCACGCCATTGCACACCCTCGTCTTTTCTGCTTCGTCTTTGCTCCTGAAATCAATTTCGTGATTGCACCATCTCACCTTCTCTCTGCCCCCCCCCCCCTTTTTTGTTAAAAAATTGGGAAACCGCGTTCAGATTTGCCGGCAGGCGCTCGAGAATTTTGATACACACGTCTACTTGCAATTCAAGGATTTTCGAGCTCTAGCCGTGTGCGTCATCTTTCCCTTCCCCTGCATTCCCTCTTCGTGATCAACGCTGTTTGCTCACCTTGTCTGCTTTGATACTGGTCCCACAGGAGTCGCTTTCGTGACTTGGAGGAGCGTGAGACCGCCGCAGGCTTTCTGCAGCGCCTGCTCCAAGAGCTGGCCGAAGCCCCCGACGTGCTGCCCCAGTTTGCGTTTAGCCTCGCTCGCTTCAACCGACAGCTTTACAAGCAAACGTTGCTTCCCATGATCCTACGCTCAGCTCGTCGCGAAGCAGCCTCGGGCTCTGAACAAGGTCATCTCCTCAACCTGTTGGTGGATCACCTTCGTCGTCACAAACTGGTTGATGCCGCCGCCGTCCTGCTGGCCCAAAGCCCCCGCTCCAGCCCTCGTCGAGCACGCTCAACGGGAGCAAGTCGTGATGTCGCCACCGACTCCGGCTCGACACAAGCGAGCACGGGTGTTGATGAATGCGAGGGGAATGAAGCTTCTCCTCCGCCGCCGCCCGATGTAACCCCGGAGAGCTTTCAGTTGGGAACCTCACTTGTCCACCAAGCGCAGACACGATGCCTTCGATACATCGCCCGCATGGGTCTGGATCAGTACGCTGTGCTGGAGGCCTTGGCACAAGGTCAAGCCAAATGCACTCAGCACGCTCGAGATACTCAAGACCTGCCATCGGCTCAGTGGTGGTTTGAGCTCAGCTCGAGGTGCCCTCTGTTTCAGCCATCCATCGCCATTCCCGTTGCACTCAACCTTGATCGACTCTCGCTGGAACAGGCGCAAGCAGCCGGCTTGATGCAAGCCAGCAACCTCCTCCAAGCTCACCCGCCTGTGGTGGTTCGCACCAGTTGGACCTCTCGACAAGCTGAAGGCTATGCCTTGGTTTTTCTGCTGCATGTCGCCACGGCCCCCGCTGGCGGTTACGAATGGGCCACCAAACCAGCCCACCACATTGACACTTTGGCTCGCATGTTTTGCATGCTGGCATTTAACGTGGCACGTGGCCGTTGGTCAGAGCCACTCTTCAACGTGCTAAAGCTCCTGCCGACTGTGGCGCTGGTGCGGCTTCGTGCTCTCACGCTTTGTCCTCAAATGCTTAAACTCTGCGCACACCGATGCTCAGAGTCACTACCCTTGACGCAACAACGGCACATACTGCAGCGCATGCTACATCTTTTGCGGGCAGACGCCCCTACGGCCCCCTCCACCGTCCCACCAGCCGTTACAAGCCCACCAAGGCCATAAAAGCAGTGGTGATATCGAGAACCCAACCATCCATTTAAGATTAAATTCACACCAAGCATCGCTCTTCATCATTGCCCTTGATCTGCAGGCGTTTGTGAGGGCTGGTCAAACACGGGCTGGGCAGTACGAGGTCATTCAAGACACGGGTGCTACATCATATCGTCCAGACATCGACGCGGCGCAGTGTAACACAAATAGGACCCGCGCCGGAACAGATAAAACAAAATTATAATTGGTCATCCAGTCGTGTATCAGATCCAATCGAAGCTTGAGAGAGATTCTCATAATTCCAACCTCGCAACGGTGTGGCAAGATCAACCGGAAGGTTTGGGTGGAAAGCGCGTTGTGCGCACACACGGCAGCTACATGGCACCCAACTGACTCAGCTCAGCCTCCAGTTTACGCAGCTGGAGCTGAAGCTCGTCCTCCTCCTTGTTGACGCGCTCGAGGTCTTGTTTGAGCTTGTGTGATTCTTCCTGCGCTGCAGCCAAACGTGCACGCGTGGCCGCCAAGCTGTTATCCTTGTCGGATGCATCGAGCTGGCCGGCAACGCGCTTTTCAAAGTCAATCTATCATGGCATGTGGTGAATCAAAACAGACCCCCAGCCGGCATAGCGACCACGAAAGGCGGCAAGCAGACGGACGCGCAGACACACACACTCTCTACAGCACACAACCACACTTACGGCAATTTGGTTAAGCTTGTCCTGGTTGGTCGATGTATACGCAGCCATGGCTTCAAACTTGTCCATGATAAAGGGCAGGTGCTCATCCACGTCAACCTTGGCTCCTGATTCTCCAAAATTAACTGTTGGACACGCGCAGCGTGAGGCTAGCAACCAAAACGTATTGGCGCAAGTGTCAGAGAGACGCACCACCATAGATGGAAATCAGATCTTTGATCTTTTCGCGTGCTGCCAATTTTTGCTGCTCTTGCTTGTTGGATAGAGCTTGCCCCTTGAGAGCGAAAAGCGCGTAAACAAAACAGGGTGCCGTGTCAGTGGGTGCGTTGACAACCAGGCGCCCAAGAAGTGCGTCGGCCGTATGAGGGCGCAAGCTTGGCGTGTGCGGCATTTACCTTGGAAAAGGGCGTTTGAAACTTGTCTGCGTAAACCGTAAAACGAGCACCGGCCTGCGTAGCTTGGCGCGTTTTAAAGCTGCAGTACTCGAGCCAAAGGCGAATCCCGATGATGCAGCCCAGCCATTCTATAGAGCCGAGATCAGGAGGGTAGGTCAAGAACCAACGAGGGACGAGGGCAGAAGCGGGAACACCGGTACAGGGTACAGGAGAAAAAAAGTGGGCATTCGTGGCAAACGAGTGGCACTGACGATGAACGCTCGTGGGAATGGCGCTGGTTTCTTTGACGGCGCGAAAGGCGGTGGGATGGCCGGAGAAGCCGAGCAGGCCCAAGCAAATGTGGGCTGCCATGTGGGCAGGGCGTTGAAGAGCCATCTTGCCAATGTTGCGAATGACGCTGGGAAGTTGTACACCAAGCATCTTAATGTCATCGAGGTTCTCTTGCAAATAGGACAGGCCGTGGGCGGCAATGGCGTCTGTGAGTTGCTTTTGCAAGGAGAAAACGGCTGCATCATCATCCGCGCTCTTGCTGAGGGCGGCAACGATTTGCGACCAGGTCATGGATGAAGCGGCAATGACTTGAAATTTGTATTGAGCTAGGTGGGCAGCCAAAAAAAACCATCACGAGAAGAGGTGAGGGCAATGAAAGAGTTAGGGTGGGGTCTGATGACCGAGCTCGAGAGGCGGTGCGGGTTGAATGATGCTGTTTCAGGGGTCAGATTGTGTCAATGTGTATCTTGGCGTGTAACTTGGCGCGTACCTTCTTGCAGGGCCATTTGGCGCTTGACTTCTTCTTGAACGCGCTTTTGCATTTCGGCTTCGTCAAAGGCGTCCGTTTGCCTGGAGCGAACAATCTCTGGTTGCACCGCTGGTGCCGACGAAACAGAAGGTGCGGATTGGGTCTGACTCGGGCGGGCCCCGGAAGAGAAGGAGGCGGTGGTGGTGGTGGTGGTGGCGACGTGTTGCTGTTCCTTGGCGCTGTCAAGTTTGCTTTGGAGGAGGTCAAGGAGGTCATCCTTCTCGGGCTTGGAGAGGGCCCAGACTTGGGCATGCCACTCTTCATGCTCACGACGGGAAATGACGTGTTGTTCGTAGGCTTGGTCAAGCCGAGTCTGAAGTTCGCGGCTGGCGGTAATCATCTGAGCAGTGGTTTCGGCCTGCTCTTCGGCTTGGCGGATGGCGGCCCAATCGGCGGGCTTCTGCTTCGGCCTTGGCTTTGGTGCGCTGGCGCTCTTCCTCGGCTAGGGCGGCGCGTTCTTGTGCCTCTTGGCGCTCTCGCTGAAGCTCGGCTTCGCGAGCAGCAGCCTGTTCCTGCATCTTCTGTTGTTGTTCTTCAAGTTCCCGGGCCCGATTCTCGGCGGCAATTTTGGCGGCGCGGAGGCGCTCCACCTCTTCTTGTTGCTGCTCAAGCTGTTGGGCACGTCGTGCAATCTGTGATTGTAACTGTGATTCCTTCTCGCGGCGCGCGGCTTCACGACGTCGCTGTTTGAGCTCCTCGGCCTTGCGGGACTCGGCCGCCTGTTGGCGGGCCACCTCATCCTGCTGGGCACTCAGGCTGGCCTGCTTGTTGGCCCGATCGGCCGCTGCAAACGGGTTGCGCTGCGCAATGTCTCCCGTCAACGCGTTGCTATCCATGACTTGCCGGTTCGTACAGATACCAACCGTCCCTGAAAACCCCCAGGGCAAGACCTGCCTCGATACACACGACAAACTGCGGCTGCTCTAGCAAGCAACCCTTCCCCCCGGTTCACGATCACTGCTGGGTCAAATGGGTGTGTGTGTGTGTGAGAGAGAGAGAGAGAGAGAGAGAGAGAGAGAGAGAGAGAGAGAGAGAGAGAGAGAGAGAGAGAGAGAGAGAGAGAGAGAGAGAGAGAGAGAGAGAGAGAGAGAGAGAGAGAGAGAGAGAGAGAGAGAGAGAGAGAGAGAGAGAGAGAGAGAGAGAGAGAGAGCTTGAGAGAGAGAGAGATCTTGAGAGAGAGAGAGAGAGAGATCTTGAGAGAGAGAGAGAGAGAGAGAGAGAGGAGAGAGAGAGAGAGAGAGAGAGAGGAGAGAGAGAGAGAGAGAGAGAGAGAGAGAGAGAGAGAGAGCTTGAGAGAGAGAGAGAAAGAGAGAGAGAGAGAGAGAGAGCTTGAGAGGGAAAAGGGGCGTTGTTTTATGGGAAAAGTTGTTGTTCAGTCTGATCGTGGCTGGCGACTTGAACGACGCTAGATGTTGCTCTGCTGGCTTGGTCTCAAGCTTCCGCGTTGAACGACGCTTCGTCACTTTGCTGCCATCCAACTACCCTGCCACATTTGCGCGCACTGAGCACTGTGAGGATGGCTTGGGCCGGTTCACTGGTTTGCCTGCCGGACTTTCCGCGCCTCCGCGTCGTGTGAAAGAAAAAGAAAAAAAAAAGCACGCACAGAGTCTCGTCTTTTCAAACACAAACTCTCACTGAAATCCCTACTAAATCTGCAAAAAGTCAAATTTACGCTGATCAAAGTACGGCGCTACAAGAATGCTGACATTCCCTGCAAGGCAAGCTTGCGTTTTGTGTGACAATCCACCAAAGCTGCCATTTTGTATAGTTTTCATCGGACTTTTGTGCGCCAAAGGTATACAGAATTTGACGAGCCGCTCGACCCAGGTTTTTTTTCTTTTTTTTCTTTTTCCCTTGTTCAGTCGGTGCGAAACGGCAGCGCCAGTCCTGTGAGGCACAGGGAGGACGCGAGCTGATCCGGCTTGATCTCATCAAGCGTGGTGTATGGTTCTCTGGATTCTTGAACTAGGCACTGGGTGGACGCCGAGGTTGAGAAAAGCTTTGTGGTGCTGTTGTAGCACTCACCCTTCTCCACTGGACACAGACCTCAGCGCCGTGTCCAACGCGACACCTGGCCCGACCCGCTTTCTCGCGTGCGCGTCAAGACCGCCACCATGCCGGCGGATCAGGGTTGCTACACCCTCATCACCGATGATGATGCCGACCTCAACTTCTCCGAGCAAGAGCTTCGCAAGCAACTCGGTATGGATGCCCGCGCGTCAGCCAGCCAGCCAGCCAGCCAGCCAGCCAGCCAGCCAGCCAGCCAGCTAGCCGGCCGGCCGCTTGATTCATTCTGACCAGCTGATGCCGTGCTCGTTCTTTTCGTGTGCGGGTGCTCACAGAATCGAGCCGCGTGGAGGACAAGGTTGAAGCACTCAAGGTTGCCATTCAGCTTTTGCTCAATGGCGAAAAGCTTCCCTCCCTGCTCGTCGTACGTCACTCGCTGCCTCGGCCTGATCATCTTCAGCGTGCCACCACGACGCCAAAACGCTTCACTGACAATCACTCACCCACACTCCTTCCAGCCGGTTATCCGCTATGTCATGCCGTGCGATGATCACACAGTTAAGAAACTTCTCCTCATCTTTTGGGAAGTGGTGCCCAAGTATGGCAGCGATGGCAAGCTGCTCCACGAAATGATCCTCGTGTGCGATGCGTATCGCAAGGACCTCATGCACCCCAACGAGTACGTGCGTGGCTCAACGCTGCGCTTTCTCTGCAAGCTCAAGGAACCCGAGCTTCTCGAACCCCTCATGCCCACCATCCAAGAGTGCCTGACCAACCGCCACGCATACGTTCGCCGCAACGCCGTCCTGGCCATCTACACCATTTACAAAAATTACGACCACCTCATTCCCGACGCCCCCGAGCTGATCCACCGTTACCTCGAGCAGGAAGAGGTCAGCCTTGCCTCCGCCGCAATGTCTCTTTCTTTCCATGTTTCTTTTCGACGTTTCATACTTCGTTTCTTGCTTCTTCACTTGGCCGCCACCACCGCCGTCCTTTTTGTTGCAATGACGTTTCGCTTTGATGTCATCACGCGAGAGCTCACCCCAACGCTCGGCGTCCCTTGGTCCCCCCTCCCCCGCGTGCGTTACAGAACCCCTCGTGCAAGCGCAATGCTTTTATGATGTTGATCACGGCTGATCAGAGCCGCGCCCTCGAGTACCTGAGCTCGTGCATCGACTCTGTGCAGACTTTCAATGAGATTTTGCAGCTCGTCATTGTCGAGCTTGTTCACAAAGTGTGCCGGACCGAGCCGCGCCAGCGCAGCCGCTTCATCCGCTGCATCTACAACCTGCTCAATTCCGAGTCGGCCGCCGTCCGTTATGACGCTGCCGGTGCCCTCTTGACCCTGTCTTCGGCCCCGACAGCCGTCACCGCCGCCGCCAAGGCCTACATTGAGCTCATCGTGAAGGAGGCTGACAATAACGTCAAGCTCATTGTTCTTGACCGACTCATCGCCCTCAAGTCCACTCCCTCCAACGAGCGCGTGCTACAGGACATGATTATGGACATTCTGCGCGTCCTGGCCGCCCCCGATCTTCATGTCCGCAAGAAAACGCTGGCCCTTGTCCTTGACCTCGTCGCCTCCCGCAACGTCTCTGAGGTCGTTGGCTTTATCAAGAAGGAGCTCGCGCGCGCTACCTCGTACGTTTCATACCGCTCATGGAGCTTGCAATCTATTGTCACACCCGGACAGTCAGGGCATGCAAACCGGTCTTTCTCACCCACAAACAAATGCTTGGTCCTGTGGCACGCCCATGCGCTCACAGGCACGACAATTATGAAAAGGCCGGTGAATATCGCCAGCAATTGGTCCGCACGCTGCACACGCTGGGCGTGCGCTTCCCCGAGGCGGCACACGACATTGTGCCCCAGCTCATGGAGGCTCTGACCGACGATACGGCTCAGGGCGCCGCCTCAGCCGAAGACGTGGCCCTGTTTGTCCGCGAGGCCTTTGAGCGCCTGCCCGGTCTGCACAGCGATATGATGAACAAGCTCATCTCCACGTTTACTGACATCAAGTCGCCTCGTGTCATCCGCTCCATCCTCTGGATCATTGGCGAGTACGCCACCAAGCAGTCGACGATCGAGGACGCCTTTCGCTGCATTTTTTCGGCCATTGGTACCCTGCCCATTGTCGACTCGGAGCTCAAGGCCGCCGCTGAGGCTGAGGCTGAGGAGGAGGCCGACGGAGGTGCGCCCAAGGTCGTCACACGCACTCGCATCACTGCCGATGGCACGTACGCCACCGAGTCGGTGTACACCTCCACCAACAAGAAGCGTGAGGAGCGCCCGGCGCTGCGTCAAGCCATGATGGACGGCGACTTTTTCGTGGCCTCGGCCGTTGCGGCTGCTCTGACCAAGCTGGCTTTGCGCCATTCGCGCCTGGACAATGTCCCCGTTAGCGAGCGCCACCAGGTCAAGGCTCGCGCCATGTTTGCCATGGCCAGCATGCTGCACCTTGGTAAATCTGGCCTCGCCGCGGAGAACATGACCCCAGATGCCCGTGATCGTATCATGGCTTGCCTGCGCGTGTTGGCTAGCCCCTCAGCTGCACTCGAGGCCTCCTTTTTGGAGCAGTGCCACGCCGCCTTTTCCAAAATGCTCGAGGCCACGTCGACCACGACGGGCCCAAAGAAGGAGGAAAAGCGGGAAATTCAGTCCCACGTGGATGAGGGCATCAGCTTTTTGGCACTGCGCACGGGTAACCAAGACGAGACGTCGATGGATGACGTCGAGATGAGCATCTCCAAAGCCACGGGGGCTGGCGAGAAGGCCAAGGCTGGCTCCAAGCTCAACAAGGTCTACCAGCTCTCGGGCTTCTCCGACCCCGTGTATGTGGAGGCCTACGTCAACGTGAACCAGTACGACATCCTGCTTGATGTGCTGGTGGTGAACCAGACACCGGACACACTTCAAAACCTGTCCTTGGAGCTGGCCACGCTCGGCGATCTCAAGCTGACAGAGAAGCCGCAGTCGCACACTTTGGGTGCTTACGACTTTTGCAACATTCGTGCCAATGTCAAGGTGTCATCCACGGAGACGGGCATCATCTTTGGTAACATTGTGTACGATGTATCGGGCGCTACTTCGGACCGCAACTGCGTCATTCTGAACGACATTCACATTGACATTTTGGACTACATCAAGGCCGCACAGTGCACAGACGTTGAGTTTCGCAACATGTGGGCCGAGTTTGAGTGGGAGAACAAGGTGGCCGTGCGCACAACCATCCCCACGCTCCGAGGTTATCTGGAACATGTGCAAAAGACCACCAACATGCGGTGCCTCACACCGGCATCGGCATTGGCGGGCGAGTGCGACTTTCTTGCGGCGAACCTCTACGCCCGCAGCGTCTTTGGTGAAGACGCGCTGGCCAACCTCAGCATAGAGAAGTTGCCCGACGGCACGGTGCGTTGCCAAGTTGTGTGTGTGTGTGTGTGTGTGTGTGTGTGTGTGTGTGTAAGCGCTGCAGGCCAAGGAGAATATTGTCTGGAGTGGACAGTGTTTATCGACTCACGTACATGCTTACTTTTATTTTAGGTGACCGGCCACATTCGCATTCGCAGCAAGACCCAAGGCATTGCCCTCTCGTTGGGCGACAAGATCACGCTCAACCAGAAGGAGCAGAGCTAAATGATCCTTCAATGACGCAAAGTTCATCTTTCTCTGCCTCACTTGTCACTTGTTTTTCTTTGAGGCAGGTGGTCTCGGGTCTCTGTCCCAACGGTCAGATGTGTCGCATTTCCTCTTCTTTTTTTTGTTGTATGTGTGCGTGTGTGCGTGTGTGCGTGTGTGCGTGTGCGTGTGCGTGACAGACTGCGTCTTGAACAGCTGGCCTTGGAGCCAGACCTGCGTGTATGATGTGTAGGGTGTGTGCACGCGCTCTGTACCCGGACCAGCTCCTTTCTCATCTTTACTGCCGACATAAATTTTCTCCTTGTTCATCTCGTGGGAAATTCAGATTTGATCTCCTTCTCGTGTCTTTGTGCGTCTCTGCCCGCCATATCCAGTCGTTGATCAAAGAGAAAGTGAGTGTGTGTACGAAAAGAAGAGAGAGAGAGAGAGAGAGAGAGAGAGATTTGCTCATTCCTCCAGAAAAAAAAAGATCTGACAATTGCAGCTTGACGAAGATAACAAGTGTAACCCGCTAAAGTGTAATAACCAGCATGTGCATAATGTGCTTTAGCTACACTTTTCACATCGTGGGTGAGACTGAGACTGAGGGAGAGAGAGAGAGAGAGAGAGAGAGAGAGAGAGAGAGAGAGAGAGAGAGAGAGATTTGGCAGCGCGCACATGGCTGTTCGTGTGTGTGTGTGTGTGTGTGTGTGAGGGCGGCGGAGGGTAGCTGAAGGGGTAGGGGTGCAGGTGTTGGGCACAAGTGGAGGTGATGCAGATGGGCAATGGATTGTGAATGCAATCGGGAGATCAGGGTTGAGAGCGCGGCATGCTGGGGGGTTTTTTTTTTTTGGCTGATGGATGAATGGATGTCGCGCGCGCGGACGGCTCACGCTTTTGCTTGCTTGCTGGTGGCGCTCCTTTGGTATCCATTGTGTAGAACGGACGTGCCGCGCAGATCTTTTTCATATCCCTTTGAGATGGCGCGGACATTGATCTTGGCGCTGGCGGCGGTGACGCTGCAGGTGCTGTTTGCGACGGCGCAGGCGCGGGTTTCGCTCTGGCCGTTGCCTCGGGATATGGACATTTCAAATGGTGTCCAGCGGGCTGACAACACGTTCTTCTTGTCGCTGACCAACCGTGCTGCGGACGAGAGTAACGCGTTCTCCAAGGCCGTGCAGCACTACAGTCAGATTCTCAAGGACCAGCTGCCGGCGCCCGATGACAGCAACAAGGTGGCCCGGGTCACCAACGCCGTCCTGACTGTGACCGATCCCGACTCCCCCGTGGATATGGCACACCTGGATAGCAGCTACACGCTGCAGCAGGTGGCCGACGAAACCACCATTCACATCAAGGCCAACACCACCATGGGCGCCGTCTATGCCCTCGAGACCCTGTCTCAGCTCTTGGGCAACGGCACCCTCAACTTTACCACCATCCACATTCAGGACTATGCTTCCTTTGAGCATCGTGGTCTCGTCTTTGATGCCGCCTCGCGCTACGCGCCCCCGTCCATGGTCCGCCAACTCATCGAGCTCTTGCCCTCGGCGCGCATCAACTTTCTCTACCTCCGCTTCCTCGATGATGCCGCTGTTCGCCTCAAGCTGGCAGCCAGCAGCGATATCTTCGGAAACAATAACGGTGTTTACGACGGCTTTGACATGCCCGGTCTCGTTGCTTATGCTGCTCAGTTTGGTGTGATCTTGGTGCCCGAGATGAACCTTCCCTTCCACGCCTCGGCTCTGGTGGGCGATGACGACGTCACGTTTTGCACCGACGAGGACCGCATCATTGGCAACACGACCAGCCCTGCTGCCCTAGAAATGCTGGCTGAGGTTGTGGCCGATGTGGGATCCACTTTCAACACCAGTCTGATCAGCATTGTGGGTCGTGGAGCCGATGATCAAGAGGTTTGTCACCGTTTCCCCTCTCGCTCCTTCCCCCACCACCACCTTGTTTCCATGGTTTCAAGGTTTTGTTTTTTCTTTTCAAGTTTTTGAATCGGAATTTCCCGCCGCTTTCACCCTGCTTGGCCCGTCTCAAGCTCACCCTGGCCTCATAATGTTGAAATGTCTAGAATGTGACTTGCGAGACCGCTGAGCTTGTAACCTTTTTGCTTGACAAGGTCAACGCTCAAAACCGTAAATCCGTGTCCTGGTCCGTGCATACCAACAACGCCATCCGCTTTGTCAGTCACATCTCTGGAAACGAGACCCAGAACAACCTTGTTTTGGCCTATCAGGCGAGCGCCGCCAATCTCACCATTCCCGAATCGTACGTCAGCATCCCTTCGCACGCTTTCAAAAGTTTTTTTTTCTTTTTTTTTTTTTTTTTCCCGGCCTTTCCGCTGCTGCTCTCTCGTCTTGCTGTTTCCGCTTGCCCGGAGGTATCGCGACTTGCTCACGATGGAGACGGGTGCCCACGGCGGCTTAGGCACAAGGGCCAGCCTTACGGCCAGTTTACCCAGCTTGAGCACTTTTCCATTGGCGTGGCAGCTACCTTTAGCGCTCGGGCGTTTTGCGACGTGGCTGACTGCTATCCCAAGGACAGCTCGGCTTCCAACTCATCCCTGCCGACCTACCCCATCTCTTGGCTCAACGATCGTCAACAAGACGACGTCTATACCCAATCAGTGCTCAACTACCTCTTCCCAACCCTCCACGGCTTTGGTGGCATGCTCTGGAATGCCAACACCAACCTTCCTGTCGCCGAGATTGACTCGCTGCTGGCGAGCCTTTCCACGTATGAGTTTTTATGCCCCTTTGATGGTTCTGACAGCCAAAGGCCACGTGTGTTTGTAAGGTTGTTTGGCATGTGTGTGTCCTCATCCGGCTGTGGGGGATATGTTTGCAACATAGACATCTTGAGGCGCGTGGACTGCCGACGTGCTCTTGCATGACATGCAACTTGTCAACCAGCTGCAACGGCACTTATACCAAGGTGACTGTTGACGCGCCTGTCTGGCACTTTGGGTTTATCTTTGGTCTTGCCCTCGTCTGCGTCATTGCCGTGGCCGTTGCCGGCGTCGAGATCAACTATCTCAGTACCCCCAAGTACAAGAGTGGCTATGCCGAGTTTAACTAGGCAGCGCCTAGTGTTCATCTGACTCCCTGTCTCGGAGGATGCTGGTGCCCGAGATCCTGACATTCTGGCATCTTTTTTGGTCCATGGCCTGTTTTCAAATGCCAAGTGCAAGGGTTTGCATTTGGGAAAAAGGAGGGTGTCATTTTTTTTTTTTTGAAAATTGGTCGGGTAGCCGAGGTGCAAGTGGTACAGGCACAACACTTTTGTAGCTGCGTCCGTTTTTCTTGTCGCGAAATTGAAGTAGAGGAAACCATGCTCTGTGTCCTCTGTGTGTGTGTGCGTGAGTGAGTGAGAGAGAGAGTTTAAGAGAGAGTTAAAGAGTGAGTTCAAGAGAGAGAGAGAGAGTTCAAGAGAGAGAGAGAGAGAGTTAAAGAGAGAGAGAGAGAGAGTTAAAGAGAGAGTGAGAGAGAGAGAGAGACAAACAGAGAGAGAGAGAGTTCAAGAGAGAGTTCAAGAAAGTGCAAGAGAGAGTTCAAGAGAGAGTTCAAGAGAGAGTTCAAGAGAGAGTGAGAGAGAGAGAGAGACAAACAGAGAGAGAGAGAGTTCAAGAGAGAGTTCAAGAAAGTGCAAGAGAGAGTTCAAGAGAGAGTTCAAGAGAGAGAGTTCAAGAGAGAGAGTTCAAGAGAGAGAGAGAGAGAGAGAGAGAGTTCAAGAGAGTTCAAGAGAGAGAGAGAGAGAGAGAGAGAGGTGTGCCATGTCATGTCAGCGTATTTTTTTCAGATCATCAAGGTCCTATCGCTGCGACCCCGCCCCCCTCCTCCTTCTCCTTCTCCTCCTCCTCCGCCTCCGCCTCCTCCTCCTGCTCCTGCTCCTTCTCCTCCTCTTTATTTGAGTATCGCCAGGTACGAGAGCGTCATCTCTGCGTGCATCCGTTCGCTGGATCAGCTTGTGCTCCATCGCCAGATTGGCTGTATTGATTGCCGTCTTGGCTGGTGTGTACTGTCTTGGCAGCACCGTCTTGTGTCGTGATCGGCTGTGCTATATCGTTGGTCTGCATCGTTTTGGCTGCATGACTGCTTTGCGTTTCCATTGCCCCAGCTCTCTGTGCTTGGTCTTGCCTTGCCGGCTTTGGTTGATCGTAGCACCTGCGCCACGGCATGGGCCGCACTCATATTGGCTCGGGTTGCTTGGGCACGCAGATACGAGATGAGCTCGGCCCACGAGAGTGTGGTCCTTGAGGACTTGACCACACCCAAAGTTCGAGACTTTGCTCCGCGGCGATCAAAGGCCACCATCGGCTCGGTCTACCACCTTGAGCTGCATTACTTTTTTCCATTTGAGATTACGGAGCGACTGGATGAGCTGGTATGTGCACCATATCTGGGTACATGGGACGCCTCGACCCACCCGAGTCGTGCACGCATCGCACACTCATTTCCCAATTTCCTCATGCACCGCTCTGGCACAGGTCGAAGAGGCCAAAAATGCCAAGGCAGTGCCCGAGACGGTCTTTGGCAATGATGGCCATCTATTATTCCGGGAGGTCCGACACACAATGCCCATCACCGAAGTGCGTATGAACCCATGTTGTTGTTGTTGTTGTTGTTGTTGTTGTTGTTGAGCAACTGCTGTGTCCCCCCCTCCCCCCAAGCCTATCTGAGTTTACTTTGCTTCACCTTGGCCCTTATTGTCTTTGGGTACGTGCGCAAACCGCAGAGCTTGAATAAACAATCTTCTCGCCATGCCGCAGTTGCACCAGCTGCCTTGGACGTTGTGCACACGCTTGTTGACTGGGAAGGCAATGCCTTTGAGCTCAAGGATGTGCGTGATAAAATGAGCCAAAACCGCTTCAGCTGCTACGCTCATCCCAATCCGAGAGCATGTGTTGTGGTACAAGCTTGACCAGTTGTGTCCTTTCAGGTCTACATCCGCATCATGTCCCACAACATTGGTATTGTGCGCTTCGTGGTGACCCCAACCGCCACTGTCAACGTCCAGGCAAGTCCTGCCGTGTCTGGCCAAGCCAGACTTTTCGCCTTGCTTCATCCACATTCTGGTATTAATCATGGCAGCATGTTCTGAATGTTCAAAACGCCATCATGCGCCTACGAGACAGTAAACGAATCTGGTACGTTGCTGATCCGATCCCATACTTTTTTCTAATATTCATACAACCGACCAAATCTCACGGGCTGACGAAACTTGGCTTCCCGCTGGTTCAGGCGTCTAGCATATGCCGAAGACAAGTCAACCTTTCAGCCCAAAGACTTTTTGTACGAGCTGCTCAATCGATACATTGGCGCAGAGGTGAGCAACATGATGGAAAGTTAACGACCAAATGAACGACGAACACTCCTCCCTCTCATTGGTCTCGATGTGTCCCATGGTGCCTAGAACTGGCGAGCCGATGAGCAAACCGACCGCCTCTTTGTCTACACACTGGCGGCCATCGGAGAACTGCGTGATCCCATGGACGTGGCAACCATGATCTACAAAATTGGTGCGTCTCACTGTCGCGTGAAAGAAGCCAGTTAGCTGCGACCAGCCCCCGTTTGAGCCCCATTCTCATCGCCCGTCCACCACAGGCCAAATGGATTGGTCTGTGACCGAGCCCGTGGCAGCGCAGTCCATTCAAGATTTCCAGGAGCAGCAGTGCTACCTACGTTATGCTACGGTGCGCAGCAAGCCCGCGCGTGTTCTGCAGGTTGCATGTTCCAGCTACACGGGAGGCTAATGTATGATTGTATTTGTAGCCCACAACTGGACTTCACACGTGCTTTCACCGCGATGGTGGTGCAACCGTCTATTTGGGCGAGGAGAGGTGAGTGTGCGGCCAGTGTGCTTTCTCTCCTACCAGCAACACGCCTCAAGCTTTGTCGTTGCTGGTGCAGTGAGTGCCCTAGCTTGGGCATGTTCCGAGACCAGCGCCGCGAAGGCATTGGGTTGATGATCCACGGCACGACGCGACCACTTGGTACGGCCTTTTTTTTGGGCCGCGTGTTTGTTGTTGCATGACATCCTTTTCGAAGGGCCAGCATTTGACCACTCACCTGGCCTTGCGGGGCTTAAGGGGCTTTTTCCATGGCTGAAACGATTCTTTTTCAGCGCACTTACGTCCGCACTCTGGATCAGGTCAGCAACGCACCAAAAGAGCACACATATGAGCAACAGGGGCGGGATCGGGCAAGCACCGCAGGCAACTTATTGTGCATGTGTGACGGGGCTTGTAAACTTGCAGAACCTGCACAAGCTAATCATGTCCATGAACACGACGCGCTCAACAGCGCTGAAGCCAATCCTCATGGTACGTATTCGGTTTCCACACACTGCACTTTGCCTCTTTTTTTTTTTTTCTTTTTATGAACTTTGGCGGCGGGCACTGAGTATGTCTGGGTGTGCACTCGATAGCAAGTCCACCGTGGGCTCATCATGTTCAAGGCTGAATTTGGGGCCAAGCCTGTCTCATCGTCATCTGGCTGTCAAAATCAGTTTAAGCAATGGCGCGGGTACGTCGAGGAGTTGGATGAGCAACAGCGTCAAGTGAAAGAGACACAGGGGGACTGGGTAGCACGAGCATGGATGGATTTGTTTATTGGCCCTGGCAAGGCACTCATTTTTCCTGGGCGGCTCGCTCGATAGCATTATGGAGTTGACGACCACGATTGAAAAGCTGTCGGAGAACGTGAAGGATCTTCACGAATTTTACAGGTTTGCTTCTGAAGTTGCCTCGGACATTATTTTGGTCTAATGCTCATGCTGTCTCTCCACACTGGGCCGCTATAGCGAGCTCACCAGCGAGGCAAGCCAGCAACGCTTGGATGCCCTCGCCGTAGTGCTCGGTTTCCTCGGCTTGGCGCAAATCATATCAGATGTGAGCACGCGGGGGGTTTTTTCCTGGGCACGTGTCGAGCGATTCAAAACGTGGCAATTCGTATCAAGACTCATTGGAGATGTGTGTCCTCGATGTCGATTTGGGTGGGTTTGCTCGGGCCTGTAGACGTACTCCAATTTCACGATTGATGGCGAGACGGCGAGTGGGGAAAAAGAATGGGGCCTGGTTTGGGTGCCAGTGCTGGTCACCTCGATCTTCATCATCCTTGGCTTTATCTACGTGACCTTTACTCGTCGTTAGCTGGGCCGTGGGCCCCTGGCTTCCATGTTTTCATCAATTTTTCCAGACTTTGGCTTGTCCGTGTCAAGGTTCACCACACAAAGCTGAAATCCAATGGAAGCCAGAGGTTTGAGGTTTTGACACAAAAGAGGGGCGTCCTTAGGAAAGACGGTCGGATCGACCCAAGCACCGCGGCAGCTGGTCGTATGACAGAGCTTGGAACTCGGGCATAATCCAAAAAGACCAGAATTCATGCTCGGCATGGGTGCATAAGGTCAATTACAAAGGCATCATGTGGAAAAAAAAAAACTTGGCAGTGTGTTGCATCAACCACAAGCTTGTTTGTCTCTGTTTCCTGTCTCTCTGTCTCTCTCTGTCTCTCTCTCTGTCTCTCTCTCTCTGTCTCTCTGTCTGTCTCTGTCTCTGTCTCTGTCTCTCTTGTCTCTCTCTCTCTCTCTCTCTCTCTGTCTCTGTCTCTCTCTCTCTCTCTCTGTCTCTCTCTGCGTGTGTGTGTGTGTGTGTCTCTCTCTCTCTCTCTCTCTCTGTCTCTCTCTCTCTGTCTCTGTCTCACTAATCATTTTTTTTTCCTGGTCAGTGGCTTTTGGTGCGGGAGTCGATGGCAGTCGGGAAGAGATATAGGGGGAGGGTCAAGTGCTGTGGTCAGCGCGACTTTTGCAGAGGCATGGGTTTGTGCTCTGTGTGCTTTGGAAAGGGTAGACGGGATGGAATGGTAGACGGTTGCCGTCGTAGGGGTGGGCGTGATCACGTACCACGTCACGCCTCGTTGGCTTGGTGGCAGCTCTCACATTCATTCGACTTGCCCCTGCTTGACGTGTCTCCTCGTCTGTCATAGAAGCAAGACATCATCATGGCTGGCTACGCTCCTTACGGTGGTGGACCCTATGTGCGTTTTGATTGCACATCGGTAGTCGCCCTCTTGTCCTTCTATCGCGCAGGTTGGACCAGCAGGTCGTTCACCACTTTGCTCACTTGAAAACTCTCTCCGGTGTTTGGCTTGTTAATGTGCAGGGCGGCGGACCTCCGCAGCAGCCTGCGTACGGCGTAAGTTGACCGAGTTGCGTCTGCGTCGGCACAATTGTTTTTGATCTGTTCCTAGTCCCTGTCTTTGGGTGTGTGGGTGTGCTACCGCTTTGCAGTGCTGCTGTTCTCTACTCGTCCTTTGTCCATTGTGGTGGTCTGTTCCACACACATCCTCGTGTCCAGCTTCTCGAGGTTGCTGCCTGCTTGAAATACTTTGGTTGTGAATCTGTCCTCTTGTTTTGGATCTGATCTGCTCCATGCCCGCCTGCGCCTTGGCTCATGAATCACGCCTCGTCTCCTCGCTTCCTTATCTCCTCTCATTGTTGTTTCGCTTCTTCGATCTCTCCCTCTCTTTGTCCTCTCTGTCTCCCTTCCGCTTCTTGGATCGCATGCCCGTGTGCCTGTACGCTTGTGTATCTCTGCGTGCTTGTGCGCTCTGGTGCCGCGTGCTTGCATGGTTTGTATGTCGTTCATCTGTCACTGTCTCTTTGTTTCTCTGGGCTCTTGTTTTGGTATTACCTGTGCCTCCTGGTCGTGCGTGCGATGCTCTTGTGTCTCTGTGCACCACTTTCAAACACTACAGGGCTATGGTGCCCCCCAGCCCTACGGTGGTCAACCGGGTTATCAGCCTTACGGCCAGCAATACCCCCCACAGGGACAACAATACCCCCCACAGGGACAGCAGTACCCGCCGCAGCCGGGATATGGCCACCCACCTCCGGGTCCTGCAGGCGATCCTCTTTGGGGCTACTTTTCGTCCGTGGCAGGCCAGGACGGTCAAATTACGGCCGATGAGCTTCAGACGGCACTCACCAACTCGGGCATGGCAGCCTACCCGCGCCCAGGGGCCCAGTTCAGCCTCGAAACGTGCCGCCTCATGAGTATGTGACACACGAATTTTTTTTTTTTTTTTTGGGATTGGCCAAGGCCAAATCCGTGCTGTACGGCTCTGGCCCGCCTTGGCTTTTATCTAATGTTGTTTTGTTTGTCTTGGTGCCTTGGTTCAACCAACAGTTTCCATGCTCGATGCGGATCGCAGCGGCACAATGGGGTTTGAGGAGTTTCGCCAGTTGTACCAGGCCTTGGAAATGTGGAAGGTAGCGTTAATTGGCAATGTGATTGATTGTGTTTCTGTGCTGCCTGCTTTTAGTGCATCTGCTCCATGCTCATGCGCGTCTTGTGAACCTCGGGTAGACCACGTTCCAAGGCATTGATGCCGATCGCTCCGGCGCTGTGGAGCGCGGTGAACTCAAGTCGGCCATGACCAAGTGCGTGCTGGCTTTTACCTCGTTTGTGTTCATGTGCCTTGACCAAGTGCCTTCACTATGACGGCCACCTTTGCATTTTTTTTTTTCCTGGGTGCTGCAGGTTTGGGTACAACCTCTCTGATGCGGCGATCGATGTTATGATGCGTCGCTACGGCAAGCATCAGGCTCACCAAAGTACGTGCTGGCATTGACAGTATTGCTTCCCCCCGAAAAAGGTTCAGGGACGGCGGGTATGGCCATGCGGTTCTCGGTGTGGCGAGATGCGGGTGCGCTCATCTGTCTTTGTCATCGCATAGTCACGTTTGATGATTTTGTGGCGCTGGCGGTGCGCGTCCGGGCATTGACGGAGCGTTTCCGCCAACGTGACACCCAGGGCACAGGTCATGCTGCTTTCTACTACGATGACTTTATTCAGGTGGCCATGTCTTGCTGAGGACCCAGCGCGTTTATGACTGGCCTCGTGGTGTCTCCCTGATGCGCGGCGTGCGTTTTGTTGAGTGACTTGTTTTTGTTTTATTGTCAACTTATGTTCTGATGTGCTCTTTCAAAGCCATTTCCTGCCACGTGCTTGTCATCCTCTCCCTTGTCTGGTCCAGTGGCGCCGTGTGTATCCAGCCAGCCCATGTCACAACTTCACGCAAAACACAGAAGAAAACGAAGAGCATGAATCAAATGAACCACCACCAGCTGAAACAACAAGAGAAAGAGAGAAAGAGAGAAAGAGATCAACAGCACAGCAAGCCCTTCACACCCAAATGCAAAATGATGACATTTGCGCGTCTCTCTGTCTCTCTCTCTCTCTCTCTCTGTCTCTCTTGGAGGAACGACGCTCCGCTTCTACGGCGGCGGGCTGGATGCAGCAGATGTGCCGGTAAACGACGGGGCGGGGAGGGTGTGGGTGGTGTGGCTTTACCCCCCTGCCTGTTGATGTGAGGCGTGGTGGCTGTCTGGTGTGGTGAAAGGGACATGATGGCGACGAGCGGGGTGTGGATTTGGGCTCTTGGGCTCTTGCTAGCCGCCGCGCTCGCCATGAGCCAGCAGACCTCCAGTACGTTGTTGCGCTGCGCCGTCTGGGTCCTCGCCCTTTGCATTATCCTTCGTGTTGCCCACCGCCTCTGCTGGCATCTGATTGGCACTCTTAGCCAGCAGTTGAAACACCGTCTTGCCCTTACCGCCTATTGCTTTTGCTTTTTTTTTTAGCCTTGCAGGTGGGCTTGGTGACCCTCACGCAGTCAGCGCTGAACGATGCCCCCGAGCGCTTCTTTGCCCCCTTGCAACAGCAAATTACGGCTCAGGTGGCCAGCACGGCCATTGAAAGCGTGGCTGTGGCCGCCGATCCCATTCATTGCGAGCCATATCCAATGTCCTACACTTGGTTGGCGTCGGACGCCGCCCGCTCTGCCACGCTGTTGAATGATACCCTCCAGCTCGTGATTCAAGCCGACGGTATTCACGTCAGCGCCCAATTTACCCTGGCTTTAAAAGACATTCCCGTCAGCGCCGAATCCTTTTGCTATTACAACGTCGTGTCCAACGACGATGACGGCTGGTGGGCCGATGCTGAGGAGGAAGGTGATGAGGAGGGTGGCCAGGTGCTCACTGACCGCCGGGGCCTACCCGATGGCTTCTTTGTGGATCCCGACCCCGTTGACCCCTCGGATCCATACCTGGACTTTGAGCCCTTCCCACCCCCGTACTATGACGAAAATGGCACGCAGCTCACGTGGGCCGACATTGAAGATCCCGTCGGCGTGACATGCGTGCCCAACTCGGACAACAAGGACGTCAACACGGACGACACGGTGACCCACAACGACTGGTTTGGCTCCTCCAGCACCACCACCCATCACCTCTGTCAATCCGCTGTCCTGTGCTCGGGCACCGCCACCGTCAACGCCCAGATTGAGCTTACCGGTGTGGTCGGCTTTCAGTTGCTGGCCAATGGTTCCGTCCAGATCGTCCCCACCTTCCAGACCCAGATCATGAGCCTCACCACGAGCAACTGCACCACCCTCTGGGCGGCATCCGATGGCTCCATGGGCTTTGGACAGCTCTCCTCTCGTTGGTTTATCGGTAACCTGACCCAGAACGTCATACAGGCCAGCGTGGCCGAACTTCAGAGCCTGGCCTACGGCTCCCTCGTGGCCCCCACCAGCCTCACCCCCTTTGGACAAATATCCATCTCCTACGCAGCCGCCAACGTGAGCTTCGTGGCCAATCAGTACGTCAATTTCTTCTTCAACGCCGTCGTGTATGGCGCTGGGGCAGATGGCATCAAGCACCCCTACACCGCCAACGAGACCGCCATGGACTTGCTTCCGCCTTCCGACAATTGGGCGCCTCCGGCCGAGAATCTTCATCTTCTATACGGCATGCGTCTCTCCAGCACCTTGCTCGATGCCTTAGTGTGGGCTGCTCACGTGAGCGGCGCCTTTCACATCCAATCCAACACCTCTCTCCTCGATGCCTGCATCCAGATTGAAACGTTCTTTGCCGATCCCGTCTTCACCGTCGTTGCAGAAGACCTCGTCGACTTTTACGTTGCCAATGGCTACATTCAGGCCGCTTGCAACACCAGCGGCGCCTGGGATGGCGATACGCTGCTACACGTTCTGTTCCAAGACCTTGGTGGCTCGGGCCACATGGTGGCAGACACGAACAATGAGCAAGTAGGCGTTGCCCTGCAGGTCGATGCGTTGGCCACGGACGCCCTCACCATCAACGTGACAGCCCCCGACTTTCCCATCCCCCGCGTAGCCATCGATCGCGGCCTCATCCACCTCCTCAACGCCTCCGTGCCCCAAGTCAACAAGATCCTCCTGTATGATGCCTTCTTCCTACCCAGCAGTCTAGTCCCCGACTTTCCCAATGCCACCGTGCACATTTATCCACAGCCACCTCCGGCAGGCCTCCCAGGCCACGGCTACATTGAATTGCTCTCTGCTTGCACTTGTGACGACAGCAGCAAGCACACGTTTCGTGAGTGCGGGTTTTGCAACAAGGCCCAGCGCCCTCGAACACGGCGAGACTTTTCAGCTGCCCCTGGCTCTCTGAAGGGGCCCGCGTCAGCCACCATCAATGCCACTGTGGATATCATCCTCTACACCTCGGCCAACTGTACCGTAGCACCTGTTGGGACACGCTTTCAGACCATGCGCCTGGCAGTTCCCTCCGCCACACGGTCCGGCCAGCCTGGCGCAACACCAGCATGCCAAGCCCTCGACGATGGCACCTATTACACCGTATCCATCAATAGCAACAACACCTTGGCCCTGCGCCTACATTGCACAGACGCTGCCTGCGTCAACTGTTCAGCTGCCTACGATGCGGTCGAGCTCACCGCCTGCCTGCCCCTGGGGAGTTCGGGAGCCTTGGCCTGGGTCTACGATGGCTGTACCGGCGGCAGCGAGCCCTCAGGCGCGCTGGCCAACATGCCGGCCCTCAGCGTTGCTCGCCAAGCCACTTGCCCCCTTGCCGCTGGCTTATCTCGCTCACTGTACACGCTCACCACTTCTGCTGCGTGTCTGCCCGTGGCACCTGCAAACCAAAAGTACATCTCCACCTATCGGATGAATCAAACAACGACGCTGGTCAACTTTGAGTGTGATGCCACCTGTGCAGCCGCCAAGTGCAAGCTGTCTGCGCTCATGACTCCTGGCGCCTGCAACCCCATTGCCAATGCTTCAATCGAGCTCGTGCCAGAGCTCTCCCAGTGTGCTGTGCGCAACAATGCGCATCACGACGCCGGCAGCCACAAAAGCCCCGGCCTCGTGGTGGTCGTAGTTCTTGTCTTGGTTGGATTGGTTGTATTTTTTGCTCTCGTTTACCTTGCTCTCTTTTTGCGTCGGCGTGGCACACGCTGGAGCTACACTGGCGATCACTGTCAGCGTAGCCACCGCGCGCTGGGCCGAGGTGCTCGCTACGTGATACACAGCGCTCAGTGCGCTCGAGAGCGATGTGAGATGGTTGGGCGTAAATGCGGGCGGGCCCTGCGCCGGGGCCTCACTGCAGGTTGGGGCTACACCGTCTCTGGTGCCAGAAGCGTGACGGGCCATGTCCGACACGCGCCACAGGCACTGTCTTTGGCAGGCCTGAGCGAATGGTGGGGCCGTCACTTTATGCGGCCTCGAACTCAATCAGATTTGCCTGTCTTTGTCGTACTTGAGCTCGTGGCGTGCCAGGTCATGGGCCTCATGCTGATTGTGCATGGTGCCGTGTGGTGTGCGGCTGATCCGCTGACAGATCTTGCGCACTCCATGTTCTCAGATCTCGGATTATCCGCGCAGTATCTGCGCGCGCGTGCAATCGTTGTCCATCTCGACGCCTGGTCTGGTGTTGGGCGCTACGGACACCTGACTGTCGGGTTTCTCTGTCTGGTGACATCTTTTGTGAGCGTGACCAAACGTCGCGTGGATGCAATTTCTAGCCTGCATGACCATCGCTTTGGCTCCCGGTGCCGCGTGGCTGCGGTCACCTTGGCACTTGCCATGCACGTCACGGTCATGCTCCTGCCAGGAATGCTTGTCGTGTACAGAGATGAGGTGCATATGAACACCGAGGGCAACGATTACTTTTTCACGCACGATCCAGAAACCGCCGCAGCGCTTGCCGACAGCTTTGGACTGGCCTTTGCGAGCCTACTGTTTTCCATGGTTGGCAATATCTTGCTTTACTTTGTCCACGCATTGCCCATGGCTTCCATCTGGGCCACCAGCATCGTGGCTCTGCATATCAACGAGCACCATGCCGAGGTGGCAGCAGAAATGGCCAACGCCGTTGATCCGGAGGTTGCGCCTGAGGATGAGACGAAGAGCGAGGGTGAGGCGAAGAACGAGGTTGAGACACCGGCCGCGGTTGAGAGGACCGATTCTTTCCCCTCGCCGATAATTTCGGCTTTGGACGCCACGGCTAACAGGTCGCGACGCGGCGCGGCAAGCGAAACAACCATCCTCATCACGGACCAGCCGGTGCCGGCTACATCAGACATCCTGCCTCGCGCAGCCTCTTCCTCCACTATCAGCGACGATACAGAAGGCACGGAGCTCAGTTCCAACACCGCTTTGGCTGCTCTCGATGCAACAGATCTCAGCCGGCGCCGTGCGCAGAGTACCCAGCCCATGGTTCGTCGAAGTTCTTCTTCAGGCTTGAGCGGCGAGTTGGACCGTACGCGGAGCGTCAGCCTGAGCATGAGCAGTCGCGGTCGCACAAAACGGCATCGCAACCGCAGCACCTTGGTGTCAGTGTCCAGCGCGCTGGCATACGGTGCAAGCCATGAGGCAGACGACGAGGCAGACGAGTCGGCTGAAGCAAACGCACGTATTCTGGCGCTCATCTCGCGCTTTGGCGTTCTCAACTCACTGCTGGCTGTAGTTGGCCCCGTAATTGCTTCTGTTCCTGTCACCATCTTCTATCAAAGCTCTGGCAACGTGTCTTGGTGGGGCCTGCTGTGGCTGATCATGTGGCTTTGGCAGAGCATGACGGCCTATACGCACGAGTTGCTGCTGAGTCGCAACATGCTGAGCATTTTTCACGTGGCGTTTTTTTACGTGCTACCCGTAGCCATGGGTACAAGTGCATCGCTGTACGGCCAGGCCGAATTCACCTCGATGCCCGTCATGTTCTATGTCTCCGAGTTTTTCTTCTCCCTCTTTGGCTTTACGGCCTTCCTGACCGTCATGCTATCACCTCGTTTGGCCTGGACAGACGAAGAGCTCGACGCTGAGGCCGAGGACGACAAGGCTCGTCAGATTTCTATGCCCCTGGACGCAGTGCCGGCTAGCCCAAGTGCATCAGCAACATCTTGCTGGCCAAAACAAACGTGGGATTCTGTGAGCAAAGGCTGTGTTTGTCACTGCCACGGCTCGACCCAGGACGAGGTGAACCCTCTCTGCACCGATTGGGATCAGCTTTGCTTGTGTCGAGGAGAGGATGGTTCAGCCTGTGCTTGCCTCGGGTCGTTATGGCCGTCTTCAACGTCCCAGCGGCGCTCGGAGCCGTCCTGGGACGAGGCCTGCGAGGCAGATGAGGAGGCAACTTCGCTGCTCGGCACAGATCGTGTGAGCGTCAACGGGGGTGGCGGTACTTTTGGTACCCCCGCAGCACAGCCAAAGTCGCCCCCCTCCACCTCTTCCTGGTGGTCGCGGGGATGCATCCGACTGGTTGAGGCGCGCTGGTGGCAGCGCTGGGTGCAGCCGGTTCTCGACTGGGCGTCAGAACGCAAGGAGCGAGCTGACCCCGCCACATATGGTCTTCGTCTCCCTTTCCGCCGACTTTTTTTTCTGGTGGGCGTTGCCAGTGTATGGTACATTGTCTTTCACACGCTGCATGAAGTGGAGACCACCACCACCAAGGAAACAGTGATTGAGTGGATTCAACATCTGCATATGAATGTGACTTGGCCACCCGACTCGGAGGGCGGGAACATTTTTGATCCCGCCTTTCACCTCTACGACGATGCCCGTCGATGGTCGCTCTACTCTATGGTGCTAGCAGCGTGCTTGCTTACCGTCTCCTTCTTCCTGGAGCTCTTGCCCATTCGCAAGGCGCTGTACTACAGTCATCTGGCGGGTTTTGCGAGCTTGTTGGCGCTCTTTATTACGGCTGTCATTCCCTCCATTCCCAACTACGTGCAGGCTTGCAACCTCTCCGCCACCCTTCCAAAGTGTGCCCCCGAGTTTAATCGCTTTATCAATCTCTTTATCGGCGATATGGTGGGTTTGGCCTGCTCTGCCATTTTTTCGCTGACCTTGCTCCCCCTGCTTTTGGCCGTCGTTCCAAGCTTGGTGCGCACGGCAAAGCTGGTACTGGTGGATCAGCAAAAGCATGGTGGCACTGCAGGTCACGAAGCCGAATCGGATCTCAAGGCCTTGTCGCCCGACGATGACGACAATAATTTTGCAAGCCCATCGGCTGTTGCTGAAGAAGTGGTGCCGCTGGTGCCGGCTCTGGGCGATGCACCCCGCCCATATGTCATCACCAACACCGAGGCCGTTCGCGCTGTGTTTCGCTATTCCTCCATGCTTGTACCCTTGCTTTGCGGCTTGCCGCTGGTGATTTTGTATCAATTGGGGGGTGATGATGTCACCTCAGCTTTGATCGTCATGTTCGTGTTGCTGCCCTTGGTGGTGCCCGTTGCCATGTATCGCTGGCGCGTCCAGACGGTGTATTGGATCTGGCTCCTCGCCTACTTTGGGCCTTTGGTAGGCATGATGCTTTATCAAATTTTCAAGAACGATCTCAAAGAGGCCCTTGTCCATGTTTTGAATGGCCCCGCCGTGTACATTGAAATCGCAGCTGAAATTTGTGTTGCGAACGTGGTTGTGAGCGACATCTTGTACCGGCATGTGCGTGTGACGCACGCTTAAACCCTTTTATGGCGTTCCACTTCTTTTGCCAGCTTTAAGGTAGTGAGCTGGTTGGTAAAACGTGTGCATATCGTGTCTTGAGCTTGCCGTTGTTTCGTTGCTTGGTCGTTTGCAGCCGACTGCTAGTCGTTTTGGCTGTCCTGGCAGTCTTCGTGTTGGTCCAAGCTTCTGGCCTGGTCAATTTCTTCAAAGTTGACAACATGGCGCTGTGCGCTGGTAAAGAAATCGATTTATGATGGTAAACGACAAAGTTGTCTCACGACCATCATGCTGGCGTTTATAAGCTGCAGTGTTTCACAAGAAACCGGCTCCGGGGTGGGGGTTTCTGGTGAAGCGCCAAAGAAAATCCAACTATTTTATCTGAAGGAGCACAAATGAAGAGGAGGAAAGGGCGTGGTTGGGTCAAGACGAGAACAACAAACATAACAGCATGACAGATCGTTTGTTCCCAAGCGTTGTGGATGCGCGGCATCAACATTGGACATAGCAGGCCCACTCGAGGGCACAGACGGTTGAGCAAGACACGGGCAGCACAAAACGCAACCAAAAAAAAAAAAAAAAACGCAAACAACATCAGCTGCTCAACCAGCACTAGCGTCCCCTTCCAGAAGAGAGACATACATGTGAGTCGCGAGAGCACAAGCAACATAAAGATGAGCGCACAGCGCGCGGCAGCTGTGATGATGATCTCACAAGTAAAAAAGCTAGGCGCCGGCCGTCAGAGCCATATAATAGATGTCTAAACACCACAAGTCAAGCATGAGTATGAGCCGATGGGGCATGGGGATTGCTCAGCCACAGAGGAAAGCACAGGGGAACGCAAAAACCATACCGCTTATGACGACGTTGGCCAAACAGATTTCGGCCACCAGCTCAAACCAAAAGTCGGGCTTTTGTAGCATAACTTGGACTGCATGCTCAAAGTGATGCTGCAACATTTCATAGAGAAAAATGGCAAACAGCGGTGCAAAGTACCCAGTCAACCAGGCCAGGTAGCCGGTCGACATGTGGCGCCAGGTGGTGGCAAGCCCAATGATGCAGGGGGCAAGCCAGAACGCAATGATGGAAGCACGCGTAAAATGGTCGCCAAAGAACTGTGAGACGACAAACAACGGCAACACCGTGGTCACTGGCATCAGAAAGGCTGTGAGGCGGTAGACAAGCAGCACGTTTTCAGCGTACACTCGTTCAAAAACGTCCATGTCGGGCGCCTGCTCAGCTCGAAGCCAAGCCACGGGAGCAAGGCCAAAGCCCAGCATCTTGCCATGGTGCTGAAGACCCGTTGCACGTGAGGGCATACCCTTGAGAGGAGCTGTCGCACCCAGGAGCGGAGTGTGCTCCGACTCGACAGCAGTGGCGGTGGCAGCGCTTGGCTGGGAGGCGATGAGGCTTCGGTTCCAAGCCGAGGCATCAAGGGCCTGACTGGCGCCTGCATGGGTTTGAGATGGGCCGCTGCGGCCGCTGGCAAACTCGGGTTCGGCCTCGCCGGGGTTTTTGACAGTTGCGGCTACGTCGCTGACACAGGTGGGGTTTCGGCTCTTGTTACGGAGACGGTCATCTGTCAGGATAAGCTTGGATGCGCGGACAAGGGCCGGACCCAGGGCCAGGAATATGGGTAGCAGCGTCACGGTGAAAAGGCCAGCACAAACAAGTCCCATGGTATTGGAGAGGAAGAGGGAGATGGCACGATTGAACTTTGGAGCGCAAAAGTTGATGACATCCGTGACATGAATGTCCTGCAAATAGTTGGGAACGGCGGTTGCAAGGGCCCCGCACGTCGATAGTATCAGAGCAAGCAGCTCCAGGCAGCGCGAAGCAAACAGCGAACGTCGGCTGGGCCAAAGGACGTCAATGAGCAGAGCAAGAAGCAGAGTGATCCAGCCAAAGAGGGTCAAATACCAGCCATCGCGGCGGGCAGCATCGTAGTGACTGAAGGCCTCATCAAAAACGGTGCCTCCGTTGTCGGCATCCGGCCACGTGAGGTTGTAGCCAAAGCTCCGCACCTCGTGGATAAGTAAAGACTTGGCGTCAAAGCGTAGCATATCATGGAAACCCGACCAGACAAGCCAGGTCTCGGCAATTACGCCGGCGGCAAAAAACATGCGTCGGTGCGGCACGCGTAGCCCATAGCGCTCCGGCTCTTGCATCTCGTGATGCTCTTCAAACCAGTGCCAGGCCCGATGGAGACGCGGAAACGTGCGGCCAAAGTAAATGGGAATGGCAAAGCAGCACGCCTCAAGTGAGTCCAGAAAGGCGTTGGAGCTGGCAGGAAGCGGGGTCCACGTCAGAATGTTGGTCAAGTCGGCATCCCAGCGACGTTCGCGGTATCGATCATCCTGCAGCTGAAGCGTATGGACCAGGGCGGCTACGGTCAGAGCGCCTGTGAGTAAGGTGACCGTAACAGCCGATGCCAGATGAAAGCCCATGTCCAAGTCGGTGCGCTGGCGCACGTCGGTGAGCGCCAACACAAAGAGAACTACGGAGATGAGATGGCAGAGGGCATTGACAAGGGTGCTGAGCGCACGGCGCGGTCCGTGAAAAGCCCCAAGCTGCAACTGCATGCCAACAAACTGCAGAAACCAAGCGGAGGGTATCAACAAGAGCCACGCCAATGCAGCGCTAAAAGTCTGGTAGAGGATGACCAAAGCTAGGCTACCAGCCATGGGAATGACCAGGAAGAAAGACCAGCAGAGCGCGTGGAGCCGAGAGGCAAAGTACTGCACCAGACGCTCCTGACACTGGCCAGCAAGACACAGCATTAAAAATGCAGAAGATCCCATGGTCACGCCGGCAAGGATTCCATACAGCAGGGGCAACAGAAGAAGGGCCAAGAAGGAAATGCCAAGAGATGCAACGGCCAAGCCCAGGCCCTGGGATATATCGGTGCGAGTGGAGTTGTCGGACGAGATCCAGTTGGAGCTGGGATCAGAGTCGTTTTTGTAGATCACGTGAACTCCAGAAGCAAAGGGCACGTATAGTGGGGGCCCAACTAGAATGCCGACCACGAGAAAAAGTAGGATACCAAGGCTACCATATCGGAGAGCAGCAAGCCAGCGGTCGAATCGTGGGTGAAAAACCACGCTCGAGACAAGAACGACAAAATAGACCAAGAAGCTTGCCAGCAAGAGGCGAAAGCCGTCCCTTGACCACTGGCGCATGGCTTTGGCAAGCGTTGAGGCGTCAAAGTCGCTGGCATCGAGGCCGACCTGGCCAAAAATGCCTTCGTTGAAGACGGTGAAGGGGTCGTGCTTGTACCAGAACACCAGCAAGAGAACCAGGGCAAGCGTGGCGATGGCGTGACAGCCCAAGCTGGTCCAGCCAGTCCAGTGTGGGCGACCGATGAGGGGCCGGGGCAGCATGGTCAGGGTCCAAGCAAGAGCACGGCGACCCTGGAAAAGCAGAGTGCGACCCAGGCGGGCAAGGACGGCGAGGAAGCGCGATCCCATGCTTGACGCCGCCAGGTCATGGTTCTCCTCGCCTTCTAGCAAAGGGGTGCGATCTTGTACGGATTGGCTCCGGCTTGTGGGCTTGGCATCGGATTGACGTCGCTTTTGTTGTCGATGCCGATAAAAAACGGCAAGCGCGCCAAGAAGGAGCAGGGCGATGGGTACAAGAATCTCAGCGGTGATGGCTGCACGGGCAGCGTGGGCCGAGTGGCTGCCAGGCGCTTTGGCATGGGTGCAGCCTCCCGAAAGCTTGACAATTTGAAGGCTGCCGTCGCTGGTGGGCAGGCACTGGGTCAAGGGAAACTGAGCCTGGCTGCAGATAGTACAGTTGTCTGCGCAGAGCACACCGACGGTCACATGGGTATCATCACTTTGGAGAACAACGTAGGGTGGGCGATCGTAGGTGAGCTTGGCACATGACGCGTTCAGAGTGGTGGGTAAGAGCATCTCTGTAAAGCTGGGGCCGGCATCGCAAAATCCGTTGGTGTACCGATGCACGGATCAGTTGGATCCAACAGAAAGGCAGTGGAGTTGTTGCCAATCTTGTGGCACTGCCCTTGTCGAGGCTTGGACCAGGTGATGCCACATTTGCAACCGGAAGCAAGTTTGTGGACAAAGAATGAGGGCACAAAGATCCCGCAGGAATCTCAAGAAGTTTGGGGAAAAAAAAAAAAAAAAAAAAAAAAAAAAAAAAAAAAAAGNCGATGAACCATTGACTGTGAATTACTCTGCCATTGATGATGGTGGTGTGGGGAGAGGGTGGGGGGGATGCTGGGTGATGTGAGGCAGTCCGAGCAGGGCTGAGCCACGTACTGGGCGCAAGAGGCGTTGCAGTTCATGCGCAGCGTGGTAATGTCATCGAAATGCGATGGGTTGTCTTGAAATTCGATGAGGTAATACGATTCTTCATCTGCTTGGAGACACTCGCCGCCGCTATCGGGTAGGGTAAGGACCGTGAGAGTTCCGGTCGCGTCCTCAAAGCCACAGAACCTGCAGCGCCAAACAGACCAGCCATGAGTGACACGCGTAGCATTGAGAAACGGCGGATGCAATGAAGGGGGGGGCTCACGTGTTTTCGGTCAAGGCCACACTGACGCGAAGCGGATTGGTAGCAGAGCCGGCGTAAGCGTCTGCTGCGTGGCGGCGACGGCGCATGCTTGAGGCATCGGAACAGGGGTTGGAGCTCAAGGGGTCGTTGTGAGCGAGCAGCGAATGATCCATGGATGGTCGGCTCCAAGTGTTCTGGAGTTGGGTCCAGCTGTCGGCACCACAGGTGAAGCCAGAGCAAACAGGCCACTGCGCATCGATGCCGGTATGGCACTGGCAGAGTGTGAGGAGCTCAATGTAGCCAGCGCCCGCTCCTTGATCAATGAGGTTGACTGTGGGATGGGGCAAGAGAGGTATGAGCTGATCCGGAAGGACAAGGGCGTAGGTGGCAAGGTAGGTGTTGGCAATGGGGACGGATTGTTGCAGGGCATCCTTGATGACGTTCACGGCGACTTGTTCGGAAAGGGGAAACCGGGGTTCATAGAGATGGATGGTCATTTGGCTCACATCAAAGCCCTTGATGAACAGCTGAACCCCGGGGCGGCTGTTATTGGTATAGGTGACGTTGGCATCGGCAGTGACATTGGCCCAAGTGATATTGACAAGGTTATCCCCACAGCCCCGACCAGGAGTTTCGCACTGTAGATAGAAGAGGCCCGAGGCGATGCGAGCATCGATGAGATTGTCAGCGACCACAGTGAGCGAGGGCTGGTCGGTGAGGAGCTCAACGGTGAGGTTGGCGTCCAAGATGGTAAGATTGGTGCTGGCTTCGAAAGATGAGAGATAGTTGCCGGCCCAAAGGCTGGCTTGCAGAAAGATGGCCGAGAAACGGGCTCCGACGAGGACGGCGAGACCCGAGTTGTCCTCAAAGCGGGGCCAGTTTCCGAGCTGAGGCCAAACATTAAGGGTGGGATCGGGAGGGTAATGGTGTGTCTGTCCGGTCGGGTCCACGACGGCCACGTCAGCGGTGAAAAGGACCATGATGTAGTCGAGAGTGGCCACGGTATAGTTGTAGGGAATATAGGTGATGGTCACGTTGGCGTAAGGGCTGTAAGACTGAGGAACGGCGGTGCTGTCGTGAAGCTGCGCATTGAGTTGGGCAGCAATGTCTTTTTCATAGTCGACGAGGGCTTGGAGGAAGGAGCGCTCGCAAAAGTCGAGATACAGGTCGACGAGGGTGCTGACATGACAGGAAGGATCCATCTGCACGTCCATCTCGTCGACCGGCGGGGGCGTGAAGGCAACGGTGGCGTCCACAAAGTTGCCGGTGGCGTTGGTGAGGTAAATGACCTGGCCATTGGCTTGGGTGGGAAAGGCCACCGTGACCACGGTATTGTCCTGGCAGGAAAAGGAACCGCACAGGAAGCAGTCCCCGAAAATTTTGGCCTCGCACTTTTCGCCACTGCCAGAGACGTAGATGTTGCGGATCAGGAGGTGAACAGTGGCAACGAAAGTAATACCGGGTCGTCCTTGCAAATCGACAATCTGCAGCTGAAGGTCAGAGACATTGGCTGTAATGTTGACGTGCTCAAAGTATGCCCACGCGTCAAACCTGTTGCGCGGGGCGAAGTCCAGGGGATTATTGGTGAGTGATGTGATGTGATTTCTCTTTCCCTATGCAGGGGAAAGAGGGAAAAGTGTGTGGCTGATGGATGGGATTGGGTGCTTGGCTCACTTTTCCTTGCAGGTGTCTTCGGAGCAGTGGATGTCGTTGAAGTGGGCATCGTCAATCACCTCCTGGACAGCTTGTTGGAGCAGATTGGCATATCTATGTCCACCACGGGCAGGTAGGCGATGGTGAAAGAGCATGCGCATGGACATATCGGACCGGAATGCAGTGTGCGGTAGGTGGACAGAGGGGTGAACAGAAAGGTGTACCCTGGGAGCACTGACCGTTCCGGACCGTCGTCCAGGGCTTGCTGGGTAATGAAAACGGCACCAGCAAGGATGGGCAGGTCTTGTGGGGTTTGCGCGTAGCTGGCTGGCAGCAGGCTAACTGCCACCAAGATCAGGGTCAGGATCGGGAGCGGATGACATTGCATCCTTTGAATGCTTGTTGACATGGCTGGCGCGCTCATCAGCATCGGCACGATCGGTGGTCGTTCCGTCCCTCCAGATCGCGGCTGCTCATTCATCTGCAGGCGTCATCTGTGATTGTTGGGCTACCATGGGGTAATGGGGTGTCGGAACAGCAGCTGCCACTGCCAATGCTGCTGATGCTGCTGCTACCGCTGCTATTACGACGACTACTGTTCAGGGTTTGCTGAGCACGTCGCAGCTCCTCATCCTGCGAGATCGTGCGCGCGCGCGACATCAAAAGACGCGTAAGCGGAAATGTGAATATTGTCTCACTTTGCTGAACATGTTATAAACAGGTGTTGTTACCAGCGTTTTAAGACGGCTGTTTGGAACAGGTGGATACAACGACGCGGGCGTGATCACACACACACACACACACACACACACACACACGGTTTGGCGTGGGGATTGCAGAAATCGAGTGAGTTTGTCCCATAACGATTACAGCATGTTGTCCGAGGTTAGGATAAAGCCTCGCAGTTGATGCTGCAGGACTCACTTGATGACAATGACGTGCACAACTTCGCGCCCCCGAGATGTGCAGGTATGAGGGCAGTCGATGTCGGGTAGAGTAGTTTGCTAGGGTTTTATAGGTGAGGCTGATGCTCGGGTGTGGTCGTGCTCCTTCACGCGTGTGGTTGGGCGTTTTGGAGAGCAGCGTCGGTTCTGACGGCGAAACGGCAGCGCTGACCGAGTGGGGCCAGCCGCGGAGGAAGAGGAGGAAGAGGAAGAGGACGAGTGATTAACGGACGACACAAGCACAATAAAAGGCTCAAGGAGCCTTTTGCGCGTTGGTCATGCATGGGTCAAGTGTCCAGAGCACCAAACACCGAGTGGCGCGGGGCAGTGGGGCAAGAACCAAGCTTGGTCGTGGCCTGAGACGCCCGAATAGCGCGAGGGTTGATTCACAAGTCGCCGATGGGATATGACTACATTTCATGCCATCGGATCTTAAATCAGAGACGGCTCGCTGCTGGCCGCTGGCTGCTGGTCGCCGGCTGCTGGTCGCCGGCTGCTGGTCGCCGGCTGCTGGTCACCGGCTGCTGCGTCAAGGCTCTTTCCTCTGCCCGTGTGAGAGAAAAGGGGCGGGGCATGGGAGCAAGAGAGTGTGCGATGGGGATGACGTGCACATATCATTTTCCATGGTGTGAGAGTAATGTTTCAGAGATGTGGCGCTGGGACGGTAGTGACAACATTTTGGTGACACCCACGCACCCACACCCACACATGGAAACTCACCCAAACGATTCTCTGACGAAAAAGCCCACATCAGGAATATTCTCTGAATCTCATTCAAATTTGCCTTAAAAGAGGTGCAAGCGAGATCAACATTATTGCTTCTCTCTGAAAGCGTTACCCTAAGCACCTGGCGTCTCTGCTGTATGTGTGTGTGTGTGTATGTATGTGTGTGTCATTTTATTCTTTTGCTTGAGGTGGGCGGCGTGAATGGAATGGCAGCGGCAGTGGGTGGTGTGCTTTCCGGGGGAGTGGCATGATCTTGGCGGTGTTGTGAAAGGGAGGGGATGGAGAGGTCTTGTGGCGTGATGGGTGACTGACTCGGCACTTGCGTTCCTTTTTTCTTTTTTTTTTTTTTTTTTTTTTTTTGGCTTCTCGTAGCGCAACGGCAGCCGCCGACGGCGATTCAGATCGCTCGTCTCTTTCCCCGTGCAGAGAATCAGACGCCACTTTCTCTCTCCCCTCTCTCTCCCTCCCTCTCTCTCTCTCCTTGCCTGGGTATGTACACGATGCGCCATATCCCTGGTCGACCAAGCAGCTTGATGCTGTTCGTCCATCTCACCGACCCATCCCACCCATCCACCCCACCACAACCCTCGGGAGCCCTGACTACGTGTGTGTATGTGTGAGTGTGTGAGTGAGTGAGTGAGTGTGTGTGTGTGTGTGTGTGTGTGTGTGTGTGTGTTCGGTGTGATCCGTCGATCTCAATGGGCGGATCCGCGGCGGCGGAGGGCTGATGACTGGTTGGTGTATGATGATGACGATGATGATGATGATGGCAGACATCCATCAGTACCAGGCCAGGCCAGGTCATGGCCTGCTTTTCTTCCTGTCTTTTATCGGCTTGCTTGTCGTTTGGGGAGGAGGAGGGCCTATGTTTGTCTGCGTCGTCACGCACGGGCCGCGATCAAAGCCATCATCGCCCGCTCGCCCCACGCCTTGCCCTCAATGCCTGTGTGTCAGGCCTTTGACTTGGAGTGTTGATCTTGCTGCCCGTGTGTCTTCTTCCCTGCTCCTTTGCAGCTGTTTGCGGCTGGTTTCCGATTGCATTTCTTGCCGTGCTCCGCTTGCACTCTTGCTTCTCACATTTGACTGTCTGCGATGAATGGTGTCGCTTCAGGCCGTTTGCCCATCAAAAAAAAGACTGTGTGGCCGCGTTTTGCTCACCAAAATCGTGCACCAAATTCGCCGCACCGTGCTCGCATCATGGCCACCCGCCGCCCGTTGACGGTTCGGCGCTTGTGTTGTGTCGGGATAACGCTGGCTCGCGTCACTCTTGTGCCTGTTCCCTCATCTTGGCGGCTTCTTCTCACGTTGTAGACGGGCCTTGGGTGCGTCGGCCTGGTACTTTTTTTGATGTGTACAACCTCAGCCCACGCGCAAGGTTAGCCTTGACCACAGACAGTAATTTGTGGTGGCATTTTGGTCCTTGTTGATCCCCTGACCTTGACCTTCACCCTCTCACTGTCACAACAGCCGTTTATTGTGCCTACGGCCAAGTTTACAACATTACCAATGGAACCTGTGAAGATTGTGCCCCAGGCACTTTCAAAAACAGTGGCTCGCATCGCGATACCTTTTGCGACATTTGCACCAGCAGTCAGTTTACCCTGGACTCGTTGTTACCCCACGCACACTTCAAACTGTGTGCTCAGCTTGTGGTGGCATTATATGCTTTGTTTTTTTTTCTCGTATTCCCAGCCACGTATAGCCCCCACCCAGGCATGCGCTATTGTTGGCAATGCCCTGCCGGCCACGTGCCCAACAGCGAGCGCAACGGCTGTGATCCCTGCTCGCCCGGATCCTATTCTCGCAGTGGTGCGTCGAATCATAGGGTTTCATCAAATCGCTGCTTTCCCTCACCACGGATCTCGCATCTCTAGGGGCTTCCTCTTGTACCTTATGTCCTCGTGGCACCTTTCAACCGCTCAGCGGCCAGTCCTCCTGCGTACGTCTCCTGCTTTCTGTGTGCCGTGCACTTGCCCTCGTTTTGCTTCGCCCCCCCCCCCCTTTTATTCACATTGTGACGCCCGCACGACACACCCTGCAACTCACATGTAAATTACGTCACGGTAGACGGCTTGTCCCAAGGGCAAGTTTCAGAATGAAGAGGGTCATGGCTCGTGCATCAATTGTCCCGCTGGAATTTACAACGATCAAACCGGGCGCTCGAGCTGCAAGTTGTGTGGCAACGGTTATTACTCCCCTTCCCCCAACGCAGCATCCTGCCTTCGCTGTCCCGCTGGCTGGTACCAGGACGGCACCACATCCGACCGCTGCACCATCTGCCCATCCGGTACATATACACCAAGTTGGGGCTATGGCATCTGCCGAGACTGCAGCACCCGCACATACATGCCCCACAATGGTGGTATTGAGTGCTATCGCACTCCTTCAGGCTACACCGTCACAACCACAGGCGCCTCGGAGCTGGAAACCTGTCCCGCTGGCCAGGTCGCTTACAGCATTGGCTACCCGTGTTATGACATCCCCTCTGGCCGCGAAGGCGTAGCCTACGGCGCGGAGACCCCCTTTACCTACTATGACTGCCGCCCGGGCACCTATCAAAACATCTCTGATCCCATGCGTGTCTGCGCTTCCTGTCCGCCGGGAACATATCAAAGTAATTCACGTCAGACCAGCTGCAACGAATGTCCCGTCGGCAAGTTCACGGATCGCCCCAAGCAGCGCACCTGTCGCTCCTATACCACCGTTCCTGCCGGCCAGTACATTGCAGCACCTGCAACTGCTACCTCGGACCATGTCCTGGCCCCTTGCCCCGCAGGTACCTATCGTGACAGTACAAGCGATCCCTTTTCCGCCTGCGAACCATGCCCTGCTGGTACCCAGTCACTGGCAGGCATGGGCTACTGTCAATACGACGTTGGCATGTCCTGCGAGCCGGGCCAATACTATACAGGGTCTAGCTGCAGTACCTGCAGCTCAGGGAAATGGACGGCCGAAGTCGACGCCCACACCTGCGCAGGCGTTGTCTCGTGTCCAACTGGCTACCTTCAAGTGCAAACCTACTCGGCCACCAGCGATCGTCTGTGTGAGGCTTGTCCCCCAGGCACCTACACCGACAACACCAATCCTACCAGCTGCAAACCAGTCAGCGAGGCCTCGGACGACTACACAGACTACCCAGCCGCCCACTACCCGATGCGTGGCATCGACTGCGTCTCAGGCTCTTACATCAGTGTCAACGCCACTTCCTCCTCGTCACGTGAATGCGCCGTTTGTCCAAACGGCACCTTCACGAGCACCTCAAACGCCTACGCCTGCACACCCCACACCGTCTGCCTTCCCGGCCAATATGTCAATCGTATTGGCGACAACCGCTACGATCGACTCTGTCTGGACTGTGGAAACAACACTATTCTCTTGACCGACGATATTAACATGGAGCGATGTGTCCCTCCGACCCTATGTGAGCCCGGCTACGGCGAGGTATGTATCCACGCCCCTGACGGCCCTTTGTGTTGAGGCGACAGATGCGACCGCAACATATCGTGACTTTTTTTTTTTTCCTTGCCTGACTTGACACTCGGTGTGGACACTCACACCCTTGTCTCTGTCGCCGTAGGTGGTGGCACCCACACCATCGTCCAATCGTGTGTGTGCCCCCTGTGAACTGGGGGTTACGTTTCGCAACGATAGCAGCGCCACTGATGCTTGCGAGGTCAGATGCCTGGCTGGTGACCGTGTTTTGATGTCTCTTGGATCCAACGCTGCCCGTGTTGCTCATGTTTTGGCAAGCGTCCCTGGATATGCTGCAGCCGGTGCGGCCCGAGTGTCCTCCTGGAGAAGGTTTTTTGGCCCCAGCGTCCACCAGTAACGATCGGTTTGTTTTGAGCTTTGCGACGCGCTTGCCATCCTACTTTGGCGGCAACTTTCTCATCATCTTGCTGGTGCAGCATCTGTGAGCCATGCGCGGCCAACAGCTTCAAAGCAGCCGCAGGCGACACCAACTGTACACTGGGAACCTTTTGTGGAATTAATGACCGAGAGGTGGTTCCAATCTCCCCGACGTCTGATCGAATCTGGTGAGCTTCTAGATGCAGCGATATCATGCATGCTATCGAGTTTAGTGAATGAGATGGCCGACTCATTTCTCTTGTTGCACCGACCGTGGAACGCCTGCCTTGGGACATGCTTTGGCAAACGACAGCCAAGAAATGACGCGTTGCATTTACGGCTACGACGACTATGGAGAGCCCTGTACCTGCCAAGTGGGGTGCAATCGTTGTTACAGAAACACAAACTCAAGCATCGACTATTTGCTGGTACGTCTTGTGGTGGAACCCCTGATATTGTGATTTTTGGCTCAACATGTCCATGGCTCATAACTGCCGACGATGTCAATGACAGTACCACTACAACGGCATTCCATCCGCATCGGAAAACACACCAAGCTACCCCGCTTGCATACGTCCCCCGGGCAATGAGCTGGCCTCCACCCCTGCTGACGAGCTTGTGGTGGCCTGCGCTGACGTATGCCGCAACGACACAAACTGCCGCGGCTTTCAAATCTATCTACGCGACCAAATCCCGTCCCTGCGCGGTAGCTGCTGCTTCAAATCCTCGTACGTGGTGTTGCTCGGCCAACGCCCTGTGACCCTCGTAGGTGTTCTGCAGCTCATTGAAAACTATGCTTCTTTGTGCCCGCCCATGCACAGATTTGATACTGGCTCCTCTCAGGAGGCCATTGGCATTGACTTTTACGAAATGGAAGGCTGTTACGAATGTCGAAGCAACTATTACCGGGATGGGCAACACTGCCAACCCTTGTCTGATGTGCCCGACGTTCACGTCGCTGTACGTACTTGTCATGCAACACCTTCCAGTCTTTTTTTCACTTGGTTCATGCACTGCACTCACCTTGATGGGCGGCTTTTGGGCACGTTTCATTTCTGGTTGTACCTCAATCCTAGGATTCGGTCCTCGCTATGCCGATTGATTATCCCGAGGGCGGAACTGTGGTTACGTTCAACCTCACCCGCGTTCCAGGGCTCAACTATACCTTCAGCATCACTGCGTTCGAGTCGAACATTCTTACCGAGAGCGACTTTTACCTTGACAACGACCAGGCCACGCTCATCACCCTCACAAACCTCTCTGCTGTTGGATTCACCAGCTTGACCGTGCAAGTCACCGACAACCAAACCGTCTGCTACCAAATCATTGACGGCCGCGTGCGCAAGGTCCTGGGGGGCTGCAGCACCGAGATCAGCCTTGAGCTAACCGTGGTGGGCTTTCTCAGCTGTCCCGAAGATATTATCCACTACATTCCACTTGCTGTGACCGAGGAGGAGGTGGTGTGGGAGGTTCCACGCATCCCTGCCACTGCCACGACTGTCTCCGTGGTCGGTAACACGAATCAAACTGTATTTGCAGCTGGCCTTTATTACATTCACTACGAGACCACGCCGTTGACCACTGGCGACACCCTCGTGTGTGCGTTTAACATTACTGCTATCAATGGCTTTAGCCAGACCGCTGAGTACCTTCGGTTTGAGAACCTCGGCAATGGCGTGGCTATCGACTACGTCATGGAGGATACCGTGTATGACCGTCGCATGCTCCGTCCAGAAGCCTTTCAAGGGAGCTTGGAGCGCGAAAGCTTTGCATACGGCGTGTATAGCCCCTTCGCCACACCTTTTATCTACAGGCCACAGGCCAGTGTTAGCACGGTCCTTCACATTCGACTTGCGTGGTGCAGCACTGGAAACACCCTGGACCTCGAGGAGCTCACTCCGTCTCCCGTATCGGTGCGGCTGGCTGGTGCTCGCAGCGTCACGTTTACGGACCTGGGCTCGGGCATTAGCCCAGACCTGGGTTGCTTCCTGATTTGGGCCCAATCTTCGCCCATTACCACGGCCATCAGTTTTAGTCGCATTGACATCGCCTTGCCTTTGCAAGTCAACATTGACGATGATGTTGCTGAGCCTGACAATGTCACAGTTGCGCGGCGTTCTACTTCTGGCGAGACACTTCAGCTCTACAGCCCAATTTCTCCAAGTGGTATTTATATGCAGCACGAGACGAGCCCGGGAGCCTCGGACGCCACTTCCACGCTCTTGGTGCTTGAGGACATCCTCCCACCCGAATGGGTGGGCTGCCCCGTTGAGGCTGTGGTGGTCAATGTTGAATCAGGGGTAGAGATGGTGTCTGTCTCCTGGATTGAGCCCCAGGCCACGGATAACATTGGTATCGCCAGCATCGAAGCCAACTTTCGCCCCGGCGACAACTTCACTTGGATTGATAGTCCATACGAGATTGTCTACACAGCCTACGACTTTTCAGAGCAGCAGGCTGAGTGTCGTTTTGATGTCATTGTACAGCCCAACCTCAATCCCCTGTCGCTGGACACCCCGTTCCGAACCGTCTTTTCCCGCTCAGTCACCATTCAAAGCGGATTCCCGTATGCCGATGATCTTCAGGTTTTGATGGATCCCACTGCCGCCGTTTTGAGCTTTGACTCTGATTTTGATAACACCACGGCTCTTGAGGTTCGCTTCGCGGCCTCCAACAACGACGTGATTGAGGTTCGAGCTCGTGACGATTCACAATACAGCCAGGTATGTCTCATGCATAACCTTGTCATCGCCAGGCGCTGTTTTTTCTTTTAGTTGTCTTGTGGAGCTTTGCTCATCCTTTGGCATGCGGGCGTCGCCTTGCATTTGATTCCCACTCTCGCTTTGCTGTGTGTGCGTTTAACCAACCCTTGACTATTTGTAGTTTGTTGTGAGCCTTGATTGGACAGCTACGCCCGAAGCAGCTGACCTTGCAGCGGCTCATCAAGTCGAGGTCTCAGCAGAGATTGAGTTTGACCAGTTCACCCGCGATCCTTCTGCCACTTTTTCATCCTCTGACCTCACCGCCACCGCCATTCTCTATGACGCCACTTGCCATGTTGATGCGGTCACTGGTCGCATTCTAGTCAAAGGCCTCACTCAACCCTTCACACACGGCTTTATGTTTCGAGGTGTAACGATCCGACTTAAATTTCCTCGGGGTGCGACCATCACCAACGGCAGCACGGCCCCATTGCTCTCCTACACCCTGAGCTCGGCATCTTACTTTGGGCTTCGTCATCGCATTAGCGCTGCTGTGGCTAGCGCTTACGATGCCAACACGGCCGAGCCATTTATTCTTGTGTTTGATAACACGCCTCCTACGTTCCTCACCTGTCCCGAGTCGGCCACCAAGCGCACCCAGGCGGGGGAGGCTGCGGCCATTTTCAATTGGAGTCTGCCCATTTACACCGACAATCGGCCCATTGGTTTGCGCCTGCTCCAGCGTGCATACTACACCGATGGGGTCTTTACCGGTGCCCTGGGCACTAACATGTCGGTGCCCATCCGTGATCCCACCTCCTCTGCCCTTATTGTCGAATATGTGGCGCGCGATGAGTACGGCAACCGAGCCTATTGCAATTTTACCCTCCTCTCCCAGGACGGTGAGGCGCCCGTAGCCGTGTGCCCCACTGGTCTCAACTACATTCTCAGGCCCGGTCGTGGTGACTATGATGTGCCCTTTGTGGACTGGCGCCCAGCTACTTCGGACAATTCAGGCTTGGCGGTCAGCATCATCGACCCCGAGGCGGGTGGCCCTGTGACAGTTGACTTTGGCGTGCACAACATATCCGTGACCGTGCAGGATGCATGGAACAATACGGGTGGGTGCAACATGACCGTTGAAATTTTTGACCAGGAGCCACCCACGTTACTCTGCCCGTCCGATCAAGTTGTAGTGGCCGTGTCTGTCCGCGAGGGTGCCAACGCGACCTGGGCTAATCCGATTCTCGTGGACAATGCCGGTTCTATGGGCTTGACCTGGGTTGCGGACACGGCCAACGGCAGCACCTTCCCCTTGGGCTCGAGCAAGGTGACGATCTCGGCCTCGGATGTAAGTGGAAACACTGCAAGCTGTACGTTCTCCGTTACGGTGCAGCAGCCCGCTGCCTCGGCTTCTGCGGACAAGCGCGTTGTGAATGCCGCCATTAGTGGCGGCACCTTTTTGGTTGTCCTGGTCATTGTGTTGGCCATTCTGATTCGCCGACAAATCCTCAAGGCCCGCCAGCCAGCCGACTGGGATGACATTTTCTCGATGATTGAGCAGCTCAAGAACGGTGGTTCAAGTGACTCGGGGCCACGCATTCCGCGCGAGGTGTTTCGGGGCCACATCAAGCTTTTGGATGAGCTTGGTCGGGGCGCCTTTGGCATTGTCTACAAGGCTTTGCTGGAGGAGCCTGGAATGCCCGGCTACCTTGTCGCCTGTAAGAGCTTGCATGAATCTAACGGTGGTGGTGCGATGCGCGAGCTGCTGGAGGAGGCGGCCGTTACGGCCCAATTTGAGCACCCCAACGTCGTTCATCTCATTGGCGTTGTCTCGGTGGGCAAGCCGCTGCTGGTGCTCCTTGACTTTTACGAGCGCGGCGATCTGCGGAGCCATCTGATGGAAAACGCGGCCAAACTTACCATGGTGCAGCGCGCCAACTTTGCTTACCAGTGTGCCTCAGGTCTCGAACACGTGCACAGCTTTGGGTTTATTCACCGTGATGTTGCCGCTCGCAACGTGCTCCTGTCCAGTGACCTGACGTGCAAAATCTCCGATTTTGGTCTTGCACGCGAACAACCGACCAGCGATGACTCGCATGAAGCCTATTACCGCATGCGATCTGGCAACCTTCCCGTGCGCTGGTCTGCCCCCGAAGCTTTGGAGGATCAAAAGTTTTCTCGTGCTTCAGACGTCTGGAGCTTGGGAATTTTGCTCTATGAGATTTATACTGATGGCGAGATGCCATACAAAGGCTGGAGCAACCAACGTGTGTGGGTTGAGGTGGCTTCGGGCTTTCGCCTGGCGCGCCCGGACCGCTGCCATGTTGTTATTTATGAGGTCATGCAGAGCTGCTGGAAGTCGCTTCCGGCTGACCGCCCTCCAATGTCTGAGGTCACGACGCGCATCTCGCTGGCCCTTGAGGAAACCTTTGGCTTTACAGGCCATCTGCGGGTCATGGAGGCACACGACTCCGATGACGGTATCGTGGAGACTACGCGCCGTGGTATTTTCGAGTCGCTGAAGCGGCTGACGACGCAACGAAACCGCAAGAAAAGTCGCACGGGTGCTGGCGACACGCCGAGCTCGCGTCGCAATACGGTTACAACACTGTTGGATGATCTGCACGAGGTTCTGGCCGAAGATGACTTGGATCAGTTTGAGCCCGTGCTGCTTCATGAGCCCCAGGAGGTGTACGAGTTTGCGGACAACGGCGGCGATGACGACGGCGGCGACGAGAACGGTGCACCGGGCGGCATGAGCACGATCCCATCCCAACCCACCAATGACATCAGCCCCGTGCTGTATGACAGCAATTTGAAGCAGGGTCAGCAAGATCCAGACTTGGCCCGTCGGCCAGTTGACGAGTCATGTCTCGGCGCCCGGGTTTACGTCCAAGGCTATGGCATGGGCGTGCTACGTTTTTACGGCCGCCACCAGGATCCTGCCAAGGGTCTCCGCGCAGGCGTGGAGATGGACCTGCCGGTGGGCCGAAACAACGGCACAGTCGGGGTAAGTGTTATCATTTGTGGCGCATCTTCATTTCTCCGCTTGCTACATGGTCGTCTTGTTTTTCTCACCATTCTTCGTCTGGTGCGTTTGCAGGGCTATGCGTATTTTATCTGTGAGCCCAAACACGGCGTGCTGGTAGCCGCTCGCAAGGTGTCGCTGCTGCCATCCCACTAGGGCTTTATGCCTTGGTCTTGATGTACTCTGGTGGCTCGTTTTGAACTTGTGTCAGCCCGTAGCATCACACAGAGTGTTGCGCGGCCGTGCGTTTGCTCGGCTCTCTTTTATGCCTTCTTTTTGACCCTAGCGAGTAGTCATTCTAAGCGTCATGTGTGCATGTTATACAGTGCTTTGATTGTTGGTGCGTGAGTGAGATGTGACTGTATTTGGAGCAAGCTTTGCTCTCTTTTGTTTGTGACACTGTCTCGGTTCTCGTTCTCGGCCGTGCCTACAGGCACTCGTCCAGACTTTGTAATGAATTTACATGTTACAACAACACAATCTGAATCGCCTTTGTGCGCTTGACGATCATCCCACCGATCGTGTTCTTTGTTACGATGGCTCGGGCCGGACGCGCGACAAGATGTTGTCAGCCGACCAGATGTCAGAAATGAGAGGATGGCAGCAAATCGTATGCGCACGACCGTGCTGTTGGACACACGACCGGAAAGTCAGTTTCTATGAAGTGCGTCGTGCGTCGTGGTGCGTCGTGGTGCGTCGTGGTGCGGAGCTGGATCGCTCGGTGGCAGCTCATTTTGGGCTGGCTCTGGTGGCGTGTCATTTTCATCCTCTTCACGTGTCTTCACCTCTTTGAAGATACATGTATGTTCGCCTGTCTACTCAATTGTAATGCAAAGCAAGCCGAGAACACGTTTGTCAACTTGCACGCTGGCAAAAACAAGGCTGCTTTGACATGTGAATTACCAACTTCGTTGTTGGATACGGCAAAGGATAATTATAGCCCAACAAATATTGAAGCCTCACCGGGACTGACATCATTCAGAACATCTCGACAGTCCTCGGGCGTTTCCATATCAGGGGGCCGTTTGTTCGGAGTTTGGAGACTAGCCGGCGCAACCGGTCACGCATTCAACTTAGCGATGAACCGAGTCACCTTGTCGGCAGCGTGTCTTCTGGGGTGGGTCGTGTTGAGCCGGCTGGAGGTGAGTGGTGATGCGATGAAGGGCGCCACCTCATGATCCGGCTAATGCTGTTGGATCTGGCTTCACGGTTCAATGCCCGTGGGAGCTGAGCAGGACATTGTATGTTTCTTTGCAAGGGGCTGTGAAGCAGGATGGTAACACACCCCTTATGTTGGGGGGCTGATGGGGACATGATAATAAGCTGAACTCGTTGGAAGGTCGGCTGTGCTTACAAAAGAGCATGAGGTCAAGTTTGCTCAGCAGCACGGCGTAGTCGGGGTTGGATGTCGGGGATGTCTGCGGCGGACTTTGGCTAACTTGTGTTCCTCACATTGGCGCCGCTGGTGTGCACGCCCTACGAACGCATGCAAGGCAGCGGTCA